TAATTCAAAACCTTTGGAGTCAGACAGACCTTGATCTGAATCTTGGTTTAGTGACTTTGTAGCTGAGTGGCTCGGGGCAGATCCCTTAGGTTTTCTGAGTCTCAGTTTCTATGTTTGTTAGATGAGGCAAATAATAGCTACATACAAGGCTGAGTGATGGCTAGAAATAGTACTTGAAAGGCTGACACAGTGCCTGGCACATAGATACTCAAGAAATGGTGGCTGCTCTCAGCATCATAATTTTCAAATTCCCATTGTTCTGCTTACCTTTTGATGTCAGAGCCCCAGGACTTCCGAGAACTGGACCCTTTGGGTTCTGACGGAAGACAGGTATGATCAGTAAAACCACATGAACTCAGTCCCCTAATTCAGAATTCTGTATAACTGGGAGTGGGGCTGCCATCCTCAGTGTTTACGGAATGTGCTCAGAAGGTAAACATAGGGGTTTCAGGGCTGCTTGGGGGGCAAGCTAGAGCACTGTGAGCACATCTTGACTGTCAGTGTGGGCTCTGGGGCCTCTCACTGGGGAGCCTGCACCCGCCCGCAAGGACTCTTTCATGCCAGGCTTTTATTAGTGGCCAGTGGGACTAAGCTATGGACACACATGGTCCACAAACCCAGCATTTTACTAAATCCGAATGGCATTTTTTTCAGTGAATCCAAATTGAGGACTCTGAACTCCATTCTTGTCTTTATCCCCATTCTTGCTGGTCCATAGCCTCAATTCTCCAAGACCCCAAGAATAGGGACTTTTTGAAGCAGATATTCTAAGATTTTGACAATTCTACTCCATTCAGTAGCAAACTGGGTTGCAGGTGATATGCTGGAATACAGTCCATAGGAAAAGCCATGGTCTCTGCCCTCTTGGAGCTTGTAGTGGGGGGAGTGGGGTATAGGTGAAGGCAGTCAGATTGTCCTGGTATAGCCCCTCCTCGGTGCTCCTGCAGCCCCTGTCCTAGCTCCTGCCCTGGCAGTTCCCGCTCTGTAGGGGATTTTTCTGTCTGTCTGGAAAACAAACTGAGGAGCTGGACACCACCACTTACTAGTATGTGACTGTGGGAAAGTTGTTTTTCATCGGAGTACTGGGTTGTAGAGAGAAGTAAGTAGGCTGAGTCTTGGGAAGCCTTATAACTGTGTGTGGAGCGTACAATTCCAGAACTATTTTTATCAGCTATGGCAGGGACTGCTGCCTGGGTGACCATCAGTCCTGAGTCCTAGTCCCGGTGTCTGGCACGTGGTGGGGGCTCAGGCATGTTCTGTTGATGGGACGGATGAATGAATGTTGCACAGCTGCCCCAACATAGACCAGACTATAGTAAGGGTGCCCGAAGGAGTGTATGCTCTGTGCTCTGGGAGCCCAGGGGAGGGGCAGGGAATTCTGACTGTAGGCTTGGAAGGGGTTTATGGGCAGTCGTGTATGAGCAAGGCTTGCAGCATGCATTCACCTTCAGTAGGAGCAGAAGAAAGTGGTGGAGGCTTGGTGCAGTGAGTGGCTAACAGCTGACTTTGTAAGCAGGCTGTGTGGGTTTCAATCCTGCCTCCTGCTGGGACAAACTTCTTCAGTTCTTTGTGGCTGAGATAGTAAGAAAAAAATAATAATAACAACAGTAGCCTTCTTGAGGGATTAGTCTTTATAAAGCACTTAAAAACAGTACCTAAGAATAAATAGCCCAGACATATGAAAATGTGGACAGCAGGAAGCACAGTAAGAGGGAGTTGCAGCTGGAAGGGTAGTTTGGAAACGGTTCGTAGAGGCCTTTGAATATCTTTTTAATGAATTCAGAATTAGCCCATGAGGAATACATAAAATCCATTCCCATGTGGCTGGACCTCAATGGTGGCTGCCCCTTTTAAGTAAGGTGTGTACTCTGCATTTTGCCACCATCTCCAACACTGCCTGCTGCCGTGATTCTGAATCACTAAATCTGGAGATGTGCATTTCTAACAAGTTCCCAGTTGATGCTGATGCTGCTGGTCAGGGACCACACTTTGAGAACCACTGCCTACTTGTATCTGAAACACTAACACGGGGAATCAGTTGCCACTATCATGAAACTTGTACTGCAGTTTCTCTTACACCTGGCAGGCATGTTTTCTGCATTAACTGCTTCCTTCCTGGCCCCGGTGGAATTTGGATTTATGATATCTAGTATAATCAGTATTGGAAGTCTGGATATAGAGGTCCTAAGAGACAGATGGGCCAGTGAGAAAGAGATTTGGGGGTAGCTGAGGCTCGGCCTAAAGCTTGCCAGTGGTTGTGGAAGCTAGGGGTGTGTTTGAGCTTATCCCCTGAGTATGAGCACAGAGAGAGGTGGTTCATGGGTGAACAGCAGAGTATCACAGGGGTGCTGGCACACCCTGCCTTAAAGGAAGGGTGACAGGGTAGCAGCTGTCCAAAGGAGATGCTGGAAGGCGCGTTCAAAAAAGTGGGTGGAGAGCTGCTGATAAAGCGTTGAGAGTCTTATTATTACAGAGGAGACTGCGGGTCAGCAGCTTAGTAGCCAAAGCATAGATAAAACAGTTTTCAGGTGAGCTCCCGGCCTGTGGAGTGTGTCCCCTGGGGGAGGCAGGTGTCCTGTTATGCTTGCACATGGCATGCCTGGTCACTGGCTGTTGCCCCAAGGCACAGCTTGTTGTGGCAATTGTCTCTGAGGCTCCCGTGACATGGTTGCAGCTTGGAGCTGAGCATGGTGAGTATCATGTCACCAGCCTCCTTTTTTTTTTTTTTAATAATGTGACGCTATTAGTAGAAATGTGCTGGTCTCCTCATGGTCATGCTGGGGGTGCTTGTGGCTAGGTGATTTTCTTTGTGGAGTGTGTGGAAAGAGTATCAGAAAGGGAGGCAGGGGAGTGATGAAATGGAAAAGGAGGTCAGGGTTCCTGTGGGGGATCTTCCAGACCAGGCTAAAGAGTTTGGACTCAGTTCTGTGACCACAAGAACCCACTCTGAGCTCCCATGTGGGGTGCAGGAGTGAGGTTAATATATCTGGGGAGTCTAGGGCCTGGCGCTGGGCCTGGCCAAGTGGGCACGCTGTGAATGAGAGGGGAGTGAGTGATGAATGTGTTTGAGGAATAAGAACTGATGATCTGATCAAAGCAAAGTTTAAGACAAACAGGCTCGAGCTGTTCAACATCTGCAGACTCTGGAGTCAGATGCAGCTCTGGCTTCCCCAACTAGCGTAAGACACCAGTTTCCTTGTTTGTGAAGCGGAAATAGTAGTCCCTGGAGTTCCTGTCCATCACAGAGGCCGGCCCTCCTGCATGGCACTGCTCACTCCTGAGGGCCTTTGCCTCGCCCCTCCTCCTGTCCTCACAGTGCCCCCTGGGGGAGGCTAGGGCAGGCTCTCCACCCTGCCACTGACTCTCACAGTGACAGACAAGCTCAGGGAGGCCAAGGCCTGTCCAGGGCTCCTTCTCCTGTTTGCAATCCCAGTCCCACCGTTTCTTCAGAGCCTTTCTCCTTCATATAGAAATGGAAGTATATATCTATACATATCATACCTATTCATGTATCAGTACATGAAAAGCTGCCTTATTTTTATCAATAGCTGTGTAGTATTTCCTTGTATAGAGATACCATTTGTATCCCGTATTGTGCTTTAAATTTTGCTTTCTTGTACTTTTTCTTGTACTCTGCTATTACAAACATTGTTACAATGATAATTTTTGCACAAACACCTTTACACACTTGCATAAGTTTATCTGTAGGATAAATTGTAATTCTTGGTAGTGGAATATTTCATTTTTCATTCTTGCTGCTATTGTCAAATCACTCTCCAAAGAGAGAAAATAGTTTTTATGTCCACTAAGAGAGTAGAGAGTAGAATCTGAGTCTTTTGATGACAAACTGAAGCTCTTTTCTAAGCCATTAGGTTTGAAGAAGAGACCTTGATTGGCTGAGCACTATCTGTGCGCAGAGACACGGCCGCTCTCTCTCTTTTTTTTTTAATTTTTTAATTTTGGTATCATTAATCTACAATTACATGAAGAATATTATGTTTACTAGGATTCCCCCTTCACCAAGTCTCCCCCACATACCCCTTCACAGTTACTGTCCATCAGCATAGTAAGATGCTGTAAAATCACTACTTGTCTGCTCTGTGTTGCACAGCCCTCCTCTTGACCCCCACACACTATACATGCAAATTGTAATGCCCCCTTTCTTTTTCCCCACACTTGACCCTCCCTTCCCACCCATCCTCCCCAGTCCCTTTTCCTTTGGTAACTATTAGTCCATTTGTGGGTTCTGTGATTCTGCTGCTGTTTTGTTCCTTCAGTTTTCCTTTGCTCTTATACTCCACATATGAGTGAAATCAACCTTGGCAGTGGTGGACATTATTTCACCCACATCCCACTACAGAGAGCATAATCCTAGGATCGTGGCTATCAGGGAAGCTGGGAAACATAGCCCACCCCTGTTCCACTATAATTTTGTAATTATAGGCAGAGAGGGTGAGGTGCGATGGACATTAGGTGGCTCTGCCTCCCATGACAAGTTACGGACTTTGTTCTGAGATAATGCGGTGTTACAGAAAGGCCCATGCATACGTTTCACAGCTCTCCACAACAAAGACCTCTTGCAGGCATTCTTATAGTAGACTGAGGACCTACTATGTGCCAGGCACTAGACTGGGTACTTCACCTGCCTCATTCTTAACCATAAGCCTGCGAAGTGGGTCCCATGATCCCAATTATACCCAGGAGGCTTAGAACTGGGAAGGGTCTTGCCCAAGGCTGAGGATGGGAATCCACATGTGTGTGACCGGGAAGCCCACACTCTTGCTTTCCACAGCTGTGGCCATGTCAGCACCTTCCATGCATAGCAGGCTGTGGCACAGATGCCTCACTTCACCCACTTAGTCTCTTGCTGGCCAGCCACATGCATCTTGCCTAACTTGGACTCTCTTCACATTTTCCAGGCCCTCTCTCAGCTCCTTTGCCTGCTGCCGTGACCTTGGGAGCACCCACCCCCGGTGGTCAGCCCAGGGCTTCCCCCGCCCATGCAGTCCTTCATGACCACTGCCGAGGGCCTCAGTGGCTCTGTCTTTGGGAATTTTACCTTCCCTACCTGTAAGTTCCAGCCTCACTGTGAAAGCATAGACTGGAGGTGCATTAGCGCCCTGGATGTGGACCGTGTGGCACGGGAGGTGGACGTGGCCATCCTGCAGGAGCTCCTCAATGGTGTCACCTTCTGCAACTTGGACTGGGAGGTGTGCAGCCGCTGTGGGCAGCCTGTGGACCCTGTACTGCTCAAGGTTCTGTGCTTGACACAGCTCATCATCGAGTACCTGCTGCACTGCCAGGACTGCCTGAGTGCCAGTGTGGTCCAGCTGGAGGCACGGTTGCAGGCCAGCCTGGAGCAGCAGGAACATGGCCAGCAGGAGCTGGCCTGCCAGGCTGATGAGCTCAAGGGCGTGTGGCAGGAGAGCTATCAGCGTCACAAGTTGATCGGCACCTTGCAGCAACTGCTTCTGCAGTCAGGCGCCTACAGCTTCCACCCAGTGAGGAATCTCTGCAGGGTGAGGAGAGGGAAGAGCCCTGGGCTCGGCCACCAGGCCTCCTAGGCAGCAGCACATCCACTCTGGGCCCCAAGGCCACTGTGGGTCATTCTCACTGGGGTTAGGAACAGATTTTAGAGATGCTGCTCCAGACCAGAGGGCCTGAGGGTGTCTCATCGGGTTCTAGAATGTGTGTGCATATGTATGTAGGGAGACTATATGTGGTGCGTGTGTATGAATGCTGCATGTGCACATGTTTATGTAGAGGGTGCCTGACCAGTGTGTGCATGTGTGAACATATGGAGGGAATGTGTTTATGAATGGTGTGAATATGTTTGTCTAATGTGTATATGTGCATGTTTGGAATGTACATCTGTGCATGGTAGGTGTGTGTGATGGGTAACTTGCGCTTGTGTGCGTATAAAAATATATTTATGGTGTGTATGTGTGAATGAATGAGGGTGTATGGTGTGTGTATTTATGGAGGGTGTGTATATGTATGAAGAGTTTGTGTGTATGTAGAGTGTGATGTGTAAAGGTGTGTATGTGTATGTGTGTGTGTAATCAGTGTATAGCAAGGGACTGGAAGAACCAGGCCCATTCTGGAAAAGTAACTTCATTCAACCAAGTGACAGTTCATAACTCAGGGTGGCATTTGAGCATTTGCATCTCTCCCCATGGAAAATGTGGACTGGGGACACTTACCCTTTAATAAATTGTCATGGTGGCCAGGATCTGTGCCAGGAACCATCCGTGTTCCTACTTGTTCCATGTAGGAGCAAGTCATGCTGGTTTGAGTTTTCAGGAAATTCGGTTTGGGAGTGGGTGGGACAGAACGAATCATATGATACAATGTCAATAGATTGAAAGGTAATTGATATGTTAATTATGATAAAAAGGGTCAGAACCCTATCAGTAGTAAACAATAAAATAGCAATCTAACCTGGTTTAGGCCAATAAGGAATTTGTTGGTTATTTTAATGGGAAAATCCAAGGTTATTGTGGGACTCAGGTATGGCTTGCCCCAGGAACCAGTGATGGCACCAGAATCTAGTTTCTCTCCCTGCAGCTCTTGGCGATTGTTCCTTAGTGTGGGTTCCACTCTCAAAAAATTCCTGTCCGTCTGATAGTAGATTGGGCCACTGCAATGCGCACATCTCATTCTTCCAGACTCAAGGCCAGCATGATGGTGGGCCTCCTCAGGTCTCAGCAGCCCAGCCAGCATTTCTCCTTGTCTCTTGTTGTTTGGCTGGGTTCATGTTGAAGCGATTGTTCCCCTACTCACTTTCTCCACATTTGAATTACTTAAAGTGCATCAGCAATGTGATTTTATTTGGAAATATTTCAGTATGTATCTCTAAAGGCAAGGACTCTCACCTTTCAACATAAGCATAATACCATAATCATACTCTGAAAAACTAACAAAAATTCCTTAGTATCATCAAATGACTTGTCAGTGTTCACAGTTCCTCAGGGCACTGGTTGTGTTTTAAAGCTCAGAATATACAGTTTAGGTTGATATCACTGCCTTACTAAGGAAATCAAACTCCATTTCTAAAGAAGCCCAGGGGTCCCAGAGAAACTGGAATTTTTATATAGGAAGACTCTCCAGCCGACTCCAGTGACCTAATCCTGCCCTTCTCTACTGCTTCCCTTCTGCACAGTGCCACCTGTGTGACAAGACATTCACGAATGCCGCCTATCTCCAGGGCCACATCCAGCATAGGCATGAGGGCACGGCAGAAGGCAGTGAGTCCCGGTGGCCCTCCTGGGATGGGGGAAGGGCCTGGCCTGGCACTCAGTGGGTGGGAGGCATATATACCACAAAAGCTTCATTCAGAACCTCATCATCCAGTTGAAAATGAGGTGATCCAACCCTCCACAGGGCTGGGAGGGTTTCTGACCATGTGTGTAGAAACAAAAGGCTGTGAGCCACATAGGTAGGTCTGAGTTGTAGCTTTGTCCTTTTCTATTATCTGACCACGATGAGTGCCTTTCCCACTGGGCCTCAGCGGCCTTCACTGTGAATGGGGCAGTCAGATGGAGCGACTGTGAAAAGCTCTTACCCTCCAGCCTTTTGTAAATCTGCTAATTCTCTGATGCTAACTAGGAATGAACTTAAATGGGGTTAATGAGCAGTCAGACCAGTTCTTTATTTTTATGTATGTAAGTGTAGTATGACTTAGTCACTTTAATTTTAATATTTCAGTTTACAAAATGAGCAGCAATGCTGTATGTTTTCCCATAAAGAGATTTATATGCTTTGTATACACACTTTGAGGTAAAAATTTTACTGAACAGTAAAAAAAGGCTCTTATAACATTAAAATAAATATAGATATGAAAATATAAATATGATAGGCTCATTCAATAAAACTTTTCTTAAGGACAGAGTTTTAAGATACTACCATGTATTTGCCTAGTTGCTATGCATTTATTATATATCTACTGCTTCTTGGTTCTGAATTGGAGTTACTAAAGAAAAATGGATTTTCTATTTCTTAAATAACTTTTTCTGATAAAAACACATGTCTTTGAAGAGATGTTTGTACACTCCTGTTCATGGCAGTGTTATACAAAGTGGCTAAGATGTGGAAGCAACCCAAATGTCCATTGACAGATGAATGGATAAATAAAATGTAGTAAAAACATTTTAAAAAGCAAATATTGTTCAGCCTTAAAGAGAAAGGAAATTCTGCAATATGCTATAACATAGATGGACTTTGAGGATATTATGCTAAGTGAAATAAGTCAGCCACAGAAAGGCAAATATATGAGTTCCCCTACATTTGATACCTAGAGTAATCAAATTCATAGGCACAGAAAGTAGAATTGTGGTTCCCAGGGGCTGGGCATAGGGGAAATGGGGAGCCCTTGTTTCATGGGTGGAGTTTCTGTTTTATAAGATGCAGGGAGTTATGGAGATGGATGGTGGTGATGGATGCACAACATTATCAAGGTATTAATGCCAGTGAACTGTATATTTAAAAGTAGCTCAGATGGTAAATTTTATATTCTATGTCTTTTACCACAATATAAAAATTGGAAAAAAAAGTAGGCCTTTGATAAAACTTAAGTACAGGAAGGTAGAAAAGAGAAAATAAAAAATTATGGACATTATCACCTGCAGTTAATATTTTGGTTCATTTCCTGCCATTATTTTTCTGTATGTATGTATAGATATAGGTATAACCGTATAATGTGGAGTTTTGACTATTGCTGATTTTCAAATAAGAATACATCATGTTTTCCAATGTTATTAAATCATCCTTGAAAACATGATTTTTAATGGCTGAATAGTATCCCACCATATAGCTATCATAATTTATTTCACAGCTGAATTATTCCATAAGTCATATGATTTACTAAAAAATGTATAGTAACCTATTATAAATCACATAATAATAAACATTCCTGTATACAAATCTTTGTTCATATTCCTTACTATTTCATTAATGTGAAGTGCTATAAGGAGAGGAAAATATGTTCTTAAGGCACCTTTTGCTACATTAATGCTCATGACTTTTCTATGCTCAGGCTCCAATAACCCTGCTGTTCTATTCCATACTAACCTCAAATCACTTTATTAACCCAAATTAATTTCTACTGCAAGTAAAAATTGTTTCAAAAAAGTCCAATCTGAGAAAAGCCACGTCTGTTTTCAAAGAAAGTCTTAGAGTTTTAATAACAATGCCCTCTATCTAGTAATCACTACATGTACTTTAAAAAGTGACAAATGTTCAAGTACAATTGTACAATCTTTGATTTTTTTCACTAACCTATAATTCTTGGTTTATTAGTATGTGGTTTAGTTGGAATGTTCTTTTATAATTCTTTCTTCTTCAGTCTTAAAATATTTAATGTGTATACTTAAAGCAACCTTAGCTAAAAGGTTTCTTCATCATGCATGGTGCCTTTTGGCATTGAAATTTAAAACCACACATTTAAACCATACTAACATTGGAAAAAGTGAACTACAATGATTTCCATTACTCTAAATTCCTCTCTGATTGCTGTTGGGATACATAGATAAGGCCTTTGTATTAACAATCAGTGCGTGCCTGCTATTGGGTGTTCTGCTTGTGTTAGCCTACTAATTTTGCATTCACATTTCCATCTGTCAATTCTGTCAAAATAGGTCTTTAGATGATAATGATAGTTCACATTTATTGAGCTGTCATGCCAGGCACTGTGCTAACGCTTTGCATGATCACATTTCAGCCTCAGAACAACCCTCTGAGTTAGGTGCTATTATTATCTCCATTTTCCAGGGCGGGGAAACTGAGGGTCAGGGAGGTTACATCGCTTGCCCAAGGTCAGTGTACAGTGTAAGTGGTGAAGCTGCTCCCAGATTGAGGTGTGACTGCCTTGGTGCGGAGCTACACTTGATTGACTTTGTTAAAGCGGTCACCCTCTCTTTGCATAGATACGGCAGAAAAACAGAAAAATGAGGAAAAACAGCCAGTGGAGAAGGAGTTAGAAGAGCTGCGGGCCAAGCTGAAGTGGACCCAAGGGGAGCTGGAGGCCCGGAGGGACGCTGAGAGGCAGCGGCAGCTCCAGGTGGGCAGGAGAAGCACAGTCAGGGAGACTCCGTCCGGGACCAAGCCCACGGCCCGTGAAGCACGTGCATCCCACCGGGCCGGGGTTCCCGCTGGCTTCCAGGGCCCGGGGTCGGAGCTCGGACAGCGGCTTCCTGGAAGGGGCAAATGATTTTAGGCAGTCAGAAAGGAAAAGTCCAGTGTTGGCCAGACCCGTATGGCCAAAAGCAGAGCAGAGCAGTGCCGTTCCTGTGTTCTTCACCCCCTCTGAGGGGGTCTGCACCTGAATTGTAACTTCTTTCATGATGCTGGTAATTAGCTTTTTGAGGACAAAGACTGGGTAAAGCTCCAGAATCCGCCCTAAGGAGGTACTCAGCACCTATTTGTAGAATGAAGATACATAAATATCCTCACTCATTCTTTGAGTTATTCATTCATGATTCATTCCCTCAAGATGCATGTATTGCACACCAACTGTGTCAGCCACTGTGAGAAATATAAAGAGAAAAGACATGATCCTCATGGGACTTTAAGTTCAGATAATATTTGTCCCACTCCAAGTGCAAACAATGGGACAAATGCTCTTTAGGTCTCCATACTGACTTGCATGGGGAACGGTCCCTGGCCGTTTTCAGTACATATTTGCCATAATATGGAATTAATGATTCTATTATTCTTGCTTTACTTTGTAGGAAGCAGAGAGCACTCGTCAGAGAGAAATACAAGCTGAGAAGCTGTTTGATGAATGGAAAGAAAAAGAGCTGGTCAATCTATATGGGGAAACAGACAAACAAAAAAAATTCCTGTGGGATGAACTTAAAAGTGTTGCCAACGAAACTTACATGTTAGAAGAGGTACCTGATTTAAAAGGCTTTTCAAAGTTGTTTTGTTGAAAATCTTATTTGTTCTCAAAATTCATTTTTTAGTTTGTACTAGTTTTATTTCATCTGCCATTTGGGCCTAATACACTGTGAAGCCAGATACCCAAGGCCATGCCTGGGATCGCATCCCTGTACTTTCACATACAGACTGTGTAACCTTTCTGTGCTTCCATTTCTTTCTTGTAACAGAGGTTGCCAAATGGTTAAATTAGCACATAGACAACACTTAATATCCTCTGTTACATAATAAGAACTCCCTAGATATCACCCTTAGTTTACGAAGGGCTTTCATCACTGGACAATAAATGAGGCAAACTTTAAGTGAATGCATTTTTCTCCCAAGAAACATTCGCTGGGCACAGGCTTCGTGCCAGCCACAAGTAAGAACTAACTTTTACTGTTTGTATTTACTGTTTTCCAGCCCCTATGCAGTGTGCTTTGTATATAGTAACTTTTAATCCCCACAACAACCAAACAACCAAACATTCTCAAAGCAGGTACATCATTAGTTTATTAATTTATTTTTCAAAGTTTCTTTTTTCTTAAGCTCACATCATTCCTCCTTTACTGGTGAAGACACCAAGGCCATATAAGTTGCCCACAGTCACACAGATATTACGAACTGGGATTTGGACCCAGTCATTGCAACTTGAAAGCCCCTGCTCTTCTGGGTATATTACCAAGTTTATTCAGGCATATAAACCTGTGTGACTAAAACTGTATTAGGGAAAAAGTTTTGAGTAGAAATATTTTCTGAATGTATTCAGCTTTTAGTGGTCTTCCTCAAGTCAAGGAGAATCTTTTCTTGTTTTTGAAAATGAACTAATGGTGTTTCTCATAGTCATTCCATGTTCTGCCTAAAGAAACACCTAGACAACTGTTCCAGATGGGGATTGTCCTAGGATATGCTTGGAGTCTGGGTGAACCGCCGTCTTAGTCTGAGGTGGAAAGCCAAGGAGGGAAGGTGATGGGGTTGAAATGAGGTACATGTGCGTGTCTGTGTGTGATCTCTAGTTGTAGAGGTTGAGCCGCGGCAGAGAGCGGACCCCAGCCCTTCTAAGATGGCGCTCACATCCGGTAATGGCACATCCCACGCATCCGCTCTGCCGAGTAGGAGAATCCTCCTCCCAGACCTTATAAGTAGTTCCGTGCTCGTGCACACTGCATGATTTCCGCCCTGTCGCCAATAGAGTTAAAGGTCACGCATGCTCTCACCTTTGATTGGTCTAGGAAACATATATATAGAGGTAGTTAGTAGTAGGAAAAAAGAGAAGCCAGCAGAACCAGAAGCTAGCGAGCCAGCCTGCAGAGACGAGAGGAATGAAATTAGGGAGAAACTAAAAGAGCTCTAACTCATACTTGCCTGCGTGCAAGCTGCAATCTTTCTGTAACACCACCTGTGAGAAGAAATTAAAGCTGATTGAAACCGAACCAGGTCTCCTGTGATCGTGTCGACTCAACCCATGGGAAGTGGGCGCGATAGCTGGTGCCAAAACCCGGGAACCTCTCCGAGCTCCGTGCGTAAGTCAGAGCTTTCTTCGTGAGACACAACCATCCGGCAGAACTGGCGACTGCGGATGACGTAGAGCTTTTTGCCCTGCAACGGTTTCAGTGGACTCCATTCGGAAAGATCGCCAGAGAAGCCGCCGGAGAGGAGGAGGGTGAGTGGACCAACAAGCAAAACGAAAGTAGGGTTAGAAAAGGTCAGAGTGAGCAGCTGTGGTGGGTGTTCCTGTCTTTTCTGATTGTCAAAGTGTTCTTTGTTGTACTGTTTATTGTCATGTATGGAATGAAAGGACACTGGTGAAAGTTCGCGGGATAGCGACGGATGCAATAAAAGTTCGCAGGGTAGTGACAAGAATACCCCTTACCCACTTAAAAATTTACCAATCTCCCTGTAAAAAATGGGATCTGAAGTCTCTAGACTCAGAGCAGAGGAGCCTTTAGGGGCGCTCCTGAGAGCAAACGGGACCCCATTAAAAGCAAAAATCGCAAGAGTCTTCCTCCACACAGTAGAGAGACATGCTCAGTGGTTCCTAGATGAAGGAAAAATCACTACCCCTTTGTGGGAAAGGCTAGGCAATGATCTGCGCAAAGCAGATCAGATGGAATCGCTCCCGGCTGGGATGCTTCCCATATGGGGCCTGGTTAAGAGCTGCGTAAAAGAGAACAAACCTAGTTGTAGAGAAGCAATTATTGAAATATCACATCACTAGAGACCAAGCAAGAGGCCATAGTAGTCAGTTGCAAATGGTGTGTAACACTTCTACCCCCTGTCACAGAAGGAGTTACTCCAAAGGTATTACTCCCCAACCACATTTGGCAAATGGATGTCACTCATATCCCAGAATTTGGAAAGATGAAATATGTCCATGTGTCTGTAGACACCTGTTCAGGCATCATTTTTGCCTCTTGCCATACAGGAGAAAAATCTAGAGATGTCATCTCTCACTGCCTCCAGGCATTCTCAGCCTGGGGAAAACCCAAACAATTAAAAACTGAGAATGGGTCAGCATATACATCCAAACCATTCCTCAACTTCTTAAAAACACTGAATATCACCCACACCACAGGAATCCCCTACAACCCTCAAGGACAGGGTATGGTGGAACGCACACACCTCACCCTCAAGAATGCATTATATAAACAAAAAGGGGGAATAGGGAAAGACTTCAGATCCACAAAAGACAAACTAAATCTTATTCATAAAAAATTTCTTAATATTGGACAAAAATGGCCGCAATGCCGCCGAACGCCATACACAGCAGAATCAGCTAAAAGATTTACCAAAAATCCTATGGAAAGATGTATTAGAAGGGAAATGGAAAGGCCCGGATCCAGTACTAATCTGGACCTGAGGCTCTGTGTTTTTCCACAGGACCAGAAAAACCTCATATGGGTACCTGAACGGCTGACACGCAAGCTCGAGAGCCATGAAGTCAGAGAACGGAGCCGCGCTGATCCTGATCCTGGCGGGAATCACATCACAAACCATGGCGGAGACAAGGGAATTATGGGGAATGGTGAAAGCATGGCCAGTACCACTCCCTCTCATTACCAACGAGAGCGTCTCAGACGGAAAACTCCACTGCAACCAGAGTAAATGCTTCCTAACAGAATGATGGGACATGGACAAGTACCCAATAATGCTGGTAATGCGTGTTCCAACATACATCCCTATGCCAGTGAGGGAGCAAGAAGCAAACATCCCGGTACTACTTAGGTATCGGAGAGACTTTGGAGTTTCAGCAAGCCATCGCTATTGCAGTAGCAGCTTTAGTAGCCGCCTCAGCCACAGCCACTGCAGCCCTGACTATCTCCATCCCTGCAGCAGAGATATTGAATAGTCTGTCAAAGGACACTGAGACAGCCCTGACGCAGAACACACACTTGAAGAATGGCATCATCCTAGTGAACCAACGAGTGGACTTGTTGAAAGAACAAACAGACTTATTAGCACTAACCTGGCACCTCGGGTGCATCCATTCCTATACCGGACTTTGCATTTCTACCATCCCCTTTAATAACCCTTCCCAAGCAGCCAACCTGTCTAGACACTTAGGACAACTATTAGCTACAAATTGGTCTAGTGAGCTTGAAGAACTTACCGCACAGCTAAGGCTAGAAATAATGAATGTTAGCTCCAATGTAGTACAGACTATAACTATAGCAGAGTTAGCTAATACAGCATTTAATTTAGTAAAGGCCTGGTCGGGATCAGCAACCCTAGGAATACTGATGGTTTTGGGGCTCCTCCTGCTTGGCAGAACGATATGCTCGATGCAGCTCATGCAGCAGCGTGACAAGAGAGTGTTGCTTCAGGCCATGGCCGCCATAGAAGAGGGTGCCTCCCCCAGAAAATGGTTGGAGATGCTGGACTCGTAGTCAGTGACGGGTAAAATCAAAGGCCATGCATATCGACCTAAGACAGGGAGCAGACCATTAGATGTCTGTCACCCAATGATGGGTAAGAATGCAAAAGGACCTCTGACAACCTAAGACAGGCAGAGTCCCTTTAAACCCCACCTCTTTTCATTTTTGTTTAAGAGAAAAGGGGGAGATGTAGAGGTCCGAGCTGCGGCCGAGGTCGGACCCCAGCCCTTCTAAGATGGCGCTCACATCCGGTAATGGCATATCCCACGCATCTGCTCTGCCAAGTAGGAGAATCCCCCTCCCAGACCTTATAAGTAGTTCCGTGCTCGTACACACTGCATGATTTCCGCCCTGTCGCCAATAGAGTTAAAGGTCACGCATGCTCTCCCCTTTGATTGGTCTAGGAAACATATATATAGCGGTAGTTAGTAGTAGGAAAAAAGAGAAGCCAGCAGAACTAGAAGCTAGTGAGCCAGCCTGCAGAGATGAGAGGAATGAAATTAGAAACTAAAAGAGCTCTAACTCATACTTGCCTGCGTGCAAACTGCAATCTTTCTGTAACACCGCCTGTGAGAAGAAATTAAAGCTGATTGAAACCAAACCAGGTCTCCTGTGATCGCGTCGACTCGACCCACAGGAAGCGGGCACGATACTAGTGACCCAAGCCCTCCCATCCTACATGTTCCCCTAACATGGAAAAGGATGCCTTGTGGATGGCAGGATGCAGCACCATACGGACGTCAGACTCCAGCTCCATACCCATCATTCCTGAGCTCATCTAAACCTTTCCTGACTCCCACACAGTGCTAGCTGACTAGACATTGGATAAATGGTATTCAAATTTGGAGTTGTTCAGAAACCAGGGTTACTTTTGCTTAGGAGATTCTGAGTTTCATAGACGACATAATTCTTACCATCCATGGCTTCCTTTTAACTCGAATCACAACTGGAGCATCTCATGTACTATTACTATTGTTGTCTTTCCCACTAGAGGATTGCTTATGTTGTGTTTTTGTGTGTCTCCCCCATCTCCTCTCAGCTGACACTTCATTTTTTTACTTCTATTAAAGCATAGGAACCAGACTAGCTAAGAAATTCTCACTACAGTTGGATAATTATTTTGTTACATTTTTTTTAAATTCTGAGGGGAAAACGTAAGATTCTGTTTACAGTGCTGTGAATAACACTGTAACCTAGTACATTTCAAAACACAAGAAAAGGTTCCCCTTCATGTCAGTGGGGGACAATGAGAGTTCCATACATTTTGAAACTATTTCTCCTCAAAACTTTCCCCATGATACTGAGAGCTTCCTTTGACTCAGTTACCTGACTGAAGGAAGAACTTTCGATTGGATACAGGGCAAATCCAGCTTTCAAAGGACTGCCTAGTTGAAGGGAAAATACCGTGAAGGTTTGTAGTGCCAAGAAAGCCAGCCCTCTGGTGTGTCCTAAGCAGTAGTGTGAAGACAGAAGTGACAGGCTTATCAGAAGCTGAGAGTTGTGCATACATCTGAGCAGTTGACTGTATGAAAACATTCAAGGGGTATAAACGGTTAACATTTGGGCCCAATATTGCTTTAGCAGTACTGGAGAACAATTAAAGATTAGCAAGAATGACACCCAAGTTAATTTAGGGACATGGAGTTCTTTAAAGCTTTGATAGGGCTTATGAGTTTAGTATCTTATAGAAATGGATATATTTGCTTTTGTTACTGTGTGTGGTAGGGATGTATTTGAAAATATAACCATAGGTGGGTGGCAAGGCATCTTCTCTTTGACCCACTTTCTGTGCCTTTCCCTTCAGGTCACGCCCCCAGGAATCACTTGGCATAGGTGTCCCGACTCCAAGCTGTGCAAAGCCAGGCGCTCTTGGTGACAGCTAGGACTTTTTTGTGGGAGGAGGGGAAGGAGTCCTCAGGAGGAATGGTCTGGGGTGCCTGGGACCCTCCCAAACACTCTGACAGCCTGATTCTCTTCACCCTTTTGAGACTGAGGAAGAAATGGGGCAGCTGTCAGGCGAGCTCTGGGTTTTGAGGACAGCAGAATTCCATGCAATTGAAATCATACTCTTGAATTCTGTTATCACATGGGAACTGGCTTCTCCTGCACAAGGGCTGAGCGCTCAGGAGAACCCGAGTGGAGGGGCATGTGGGCTTGTGAGTATCTGCAGGTGTGCACATACGTAAGGAGGACAGGCTGGGGGTTGGTTGTAGGTGGGCTAAGCTGTGCCCTCCTGACATTGCTCAAGACAACATCAAGATTCAAACTTCGTTTAAATCAAACTACCTCCTGGCCTTTTCAGAAACTTCAGGTGCTGCAGTCCCACAGTGTGAGAGAGTCCAACCTCAGGTCACTGCAGGATGAGGAATCTGAGGAGCAACTCAGGCGGGCCCAGGTGCTCCAGGCCCTGAAGGAGAAAATGGAAGTACAGGTGAGCTGATGCCTCATGCTTCCTGCTAAAGCCAGCCAAGAACCATGTCTTCCAACAAAGTTTCTCATTTTTGTTCTATGGTTTGTGGGAAGCTGAAAGACAAAGTTTTCAGAACTTCTGCCAATACAGGGAACTATGGAATAGGATTCTAAGGGTTCTGAGGTGAGGCTGGTAGATTACATGTGTGCAGGATCAGATTTGCTTGGGACCTTTTTCAAAGTGCACAGAGCTGTGTCTCTTATTGGACACCCTTGCCATCATTTTGATTCCAACCCAGTTGAAAACAACTCTTAGAAAGTGTGACAGTCCCCTGGATTTGAAGATATTTGGGGTTGATTAGTTGGTGTGATGGCAAATATTGAACAACCAGATCTCTGGAACAAAGAAAGTCTTCATTTATAGCATCTGCTTATTTCTGTGGTATGCCAGCAATGGGTAAATCTTAAAACACTCCAGTTACACGTGGTCCGTGTCACTGATCATTTCATGGCAATGAAGAGCAGTTGACAGTCATTACGGAAATGAACCCAACCCTTTTTTGATCTTGTTGTAGCTATTTTCTCCACAACATTGGTCCTTCAACTTTACCATGGTTTACTCATGCAAAATTAATAATGTTCATATGCTCAAAGTTATCAAATTACCAATCTTTTGCTTATGGTCACTCTGAGATCTTAAAATAAAATATTCCTATATTTTCTTGTAGTATTTTTATGGCCTCACTAATTCATTCATTCCACTTTATTAAGGTATGGCTGACATGTAAAAACCTGTATATATTTAATGTATATAACTCAGCGAGTTTGGGGATAAGTATACACCCTTGAAACCATCACCACCACCAGACCATAGACATGTCCATCATCTCCCAAATCCTCCTGCCTTCTTTATCATTATTTTCTCCTTTTGTGTGTGTGTGTGTGTGTGTGTGTGTGTGTGTGTGGTAATAACACTTACATAAGATCTATCTTCTTAGCAGTACAGTACTTAACTCTGATCCTTATTATTCCCTTCTTTTTGCTGACTTAGGGTTGAGACTTTCTAGTTTTTCAAAGTGTCAAGTTAGGTTGTTTATTTGAGACCTTTCTTTTTCTTAATGTAGAAGTTTATCACTATAAACATCCCTCTTAGAACTTCTTTTGCTGATTCTGTAAGTTTTGGTATGTTGTATTTCCATTTTAGTTTGTCACAAGGTATGTTTTTGGTTTCTCTTTTGATTTCCTCTGTGAACTATTAGCTGTTCAGGAGTGTTTTGTATAATTCCACATATTAGTGAATATACTATTTACCTCATGTTACTGTTTTCTAGTTACATAGTATTGTGGTTGGGAAAGATCAATGTGATATATTTCAAGCTTAAATTGGTAGGACTTGTTTTGTGAGCACACACATGATCTATCCTGGAGAATGTTCCTTGGGGCCTTTAGAAGAATGTATTCTGCTTTTTTTGGATGGAGTGTTCTGTATATGTCTGCTTGGTCCCTTTGCTCTATAGTGATATTTCAGTCTGCTTTTTCCTTATTTATTTTCTGTCTGAATGATATATCCATTGTAGAAAGTGGGGCACTGAAGTCTCCTACTATTATTGTTTTGCTATCTCTTCCTTTAGGTCTGTTCATATTTGCTTTATATATTTGGCTCTGATATTGGCTGCCTATATATTTAAAATTGTTATATCCTCTTGATGAATTGACCCCTTTATCATTACATAGTGACTTTTATTTCCTGTAACAGTTTTTTCTTAAAGTCTGTTTTGTCTATGTACACCAACCTCTGTTTTCTTTTGGTTTCCATTTGCATAAGATATATTTTTCCATCCTTTCAGTTTCAGCCAACACATGTCCTTAAAGTTAAAGTGAGTCTCTTGTAGACAGCATATAAAAAACCAAATTGGTTTCTGTTTTTGCTTTTATCCATTCAGCCATTCTTCATCTTTTGACTGGAGAATTTAATCCATTTAAATTTAAAGTATTTGTTGAAAAGTAAGAACTTACTATTACTATTGCCATTGTGTTGTTTTCAGACTGTCTTGTAGCTAATTTGTTCCTACTTCTCCTGCTGTCTTCCTGTGTGATTTGATGTTTTTTGTGTGTTGTATGCTTTGATTCTTTTACCTTTTGCATGCCTACTATAGGTTTTCTTCTTTGTGGCTAGTACATCTTACAATTGCAGCAGTCTGGTTTAAGCTACACCGGCGTAACTCTGACTGCACACAGATACTCTGCACCTGTGCCTCTCCACCTCTCACACTGTCTGGTGTCCCCCAGCCAGCTGGTAGACCTGCATCTGGGTGTTGAGATCCTAGTGCCAGTGTCTCAGATGGTTTCAGCTGTGCAGCTTCCCTCAGTTCTGGGTGCGGTGAGATGGAAATGTACCTCCTGGGCAATGTCCCTCAACATTGGAGCAGTTGGGTGCTCACTCACTCCCACTAACCTTCTCACCCCACCCCGTGGAAGAAATTGTGGGCTGAGAGTGTCTCTCTTGGCACTGAGCTGTGCCACCACGGGGCGGGGGATGCAGGCAAAGAGAAAATGTTCTTCATCGCTTCAACACATCTCTTCCCAGATGTGCTCCACCGAGATGCTGGGAACTCTCAGCCGGATGCCAGGGCTCCCATAGGGTATTCTCCTCTGTGGAGAACCTCCTAATCCACCATCTTGCTGATGTCACTTCTGCTTTTTAAGTTTAAATCTTTGACCCACCTAGACTTTATTTTGGTTTAAGATGAAATGAAGATCCAAGTTCATATTTTTTTTTGCCCCAGTTATTAGCTACTTGTTTGAACACCATTTGTCAATAATCCATCTTCCCCCAGACTTAAGATTTCATTCACCCTGCCTCACTCCACCTTTGTGTGGCCTTTCTATTCTTTTCACTGTTCTGTCTGCTTAATCATGAGCCAGTACTTTTATATTCTTATGGCTTTATTCTGTATTTTAATACTTAGAGGGGGCCCATTTGATAAACCACTCATGGAAGCGGAATGGAAGAGAAAAATGAAGGACCTGCAGAGGAAGCACACAGCTCAGAACAGAGAGGTAGCTGTCCTTGGGATCCCATGACCTCCTCTCATCCTTCACCCCCATAGTTCACCCCCCAACCCTTGAACTGGTTGGCAGATATTTTGTTGCTAATATTGTTCCTGGCTGCTGACCCCCATCAACACACAGAAAAGGTTGACTGTGCGGACAGCAGCTTCCTTGGCCAGGAGTAGGGGCCTCCAGATCTTTTCTTCTGAACCCAACCCATCCTTCCCTCTGTGGTCCCTTCTGCAGTGACCCCTCCAGGCCCTCCCGGAGGGTTGTGCTGTAAACCTCAGGGAAATTGCCAGGTTATTTTGGTATGTGGGGCTTTCTTTGAAATTCCACGTAGGAGAGAACCAGGTGGCTGTGGACCTCAGCCATAGTTCAGGGGAGCCTAACGGGAAGGGCTCAGATGAGACTAGTGAACAGAGAGCTGCAGGCCTCAGGGCAGAGAGAACAGCTCCTGTAAAAATGCCCTTGAAGAAGAGGAAAGGGGAGGAGGAAGCTGATTAACAGGAGCCCCAGGTTCCACCTGCAGGAAGCTGCGATGAACGTGCCTAGGTCAGAGTCTGGCACATGATAAACACCACCCATTCCAATAATTCCCATCTGATGGTTTTATTTTATTTGAAACAGTTTAAAATGGGAAATATATTGTTGCAAAAGCAGAATATATTAAGATACACTAATAAAGTTGCATTTCCACCTTGTTTCCATCTACCTGTCCCCAATACCCACCCCACAGGTGACCACTTTTATTGTTTTCTTGTGTATTCTTCTAGAGTTTCTTTATGTAAATATAAATAAATAGTTTCATTTATCTCTCTGGTCTTACAACAGAGGTAATATATAACCATATTTTCGTTACCTTTTGTTTTCTCCTAAAAACATCTATCTGATGACTTTTGAATGGCCTCAGCTTACCTGCCTGTCCTTCAGTGGGTGGCCACACTTGACAGAGAGCCTTTACCCTGATTTGGGGGCTGGCATTCAGTTCTGACTTCTCAGGCACAGCTTGGAAATGTCCTCACACTGGAAGGTAGTCTTGTTAGAAAGCCAGCTGCCCAGGTGTGGAAACCCTTTCCCCTCCTTACGGTGAAGCCCTGACCAGGGTTTGCCTGTAGGTGCAGACCCTGCAGACAGTGGGCACACAGAGGTTGCTGCAGACATTTGACTGACAGGCCTTTCTGTGCCTACCAGCTCCAGGAGCAGAACAAGAGGCTCCAGGAGCAGAGGAAAGCTGCTGCCCAGCCTCAGCACCAGACCAATGCCCTCCGTGCCCAGCTGCAGGAACAAGCCCAGCTCATCGCCACCCAGGAGGACATGGTAGGTCTGTCCCGTCCTTAGCCAGGTCCTGGTGCTGCTAGGCCTAGGCCTCTTCCCTGTGAAGCTCTCCTGAGGTTCTTCTGCACCCACCGGCTCTAGTCTCATTAGTCAGGCTCTTTAAGGACAGAGAAGAGTCCTCTGGCTTGAGGGGCATGAAGTGACAAGGTTGCAGCCTGCCAACCTCCGTGGTGGGATGGGCCTGCTGTCCCCAGAGGCTCTTAGTGGGTCCACACTCACACCAGAGACCCTCTAAGTGCCAGCACCTGGTTGAGACTTTGCTTATTACCTCATTTAAGTCTCACACTGCCCTCACCTTCTCCCCATCTTCCTCTGACAGGTGATGGAACAGGCTAGAGAAGTCAGGTGGCTCAAGTCCCCACAGGGCACTCCCTAGGTGACAGGGCTGACATTCAACCCCAGCTGGGCAGGTGGGGTGCAAAGCTTGTGCTTTCCTCGCCATGCTCTCAGACACAACTTCTTAACCAGTAGCATTTTCAAACATTAACAGCCCCTGATGAGGTTGCCAGATAAACTAGTGTGATGAAAAGGCACCTACTCTGCTAAGCCCCCATTCCTAGAACGAGCCCCTGTGACTCTTCACCTGCTGTTGATAATTCTGTGCCCAGCCTTGCTCAGCTCTCCCCCTTCTGAGCCTTGGGCCAGTGGGGCCCCTCCTGTGGCTCAGGTCCCTGCCGTGGATCTGGTACCACCCTCCACGCAGCTTCCCTGGGTTGAGCACCCACTGTCACTGTCCACTTGCCCCTGTCCACTGTCTCTGTCTTCCTGTTTCTGCTCCCCTTGCTGTTTGTGCTTTTCTGTTCTCCCAGCCACACGTCACTCAGACAATGTATCTCACCCACTGCCCTGCTGCTCTTCTTTTCACTGTTTCTCCCCACCCCAAACGCTTAGCTCTTCACTGCTGTGGTGTAACATGTGGCGTTCTCTGAGTCATTCACCAGGTCCAGTCTGGAGGTTTCCTTCTTCTGTTACCCAGAGCTCTTGTTTGCAAATGTTTCAGTTCAGAACCCATTGCCTAAACATAGTGGACTAGGTAATAGGGTCCATTTATATTGTAACACCAAAGTTGCTGACAGCTGAAGGCCTTAGTTTGGCACCAAAATCATGCCATTGGAAATTCAGATTCCATTTTTCTTTTTACCATCTTTAGCATGTTGACTTTTGTTCTCATGCTTGACTGTCATTGTTGCAAGATGGCTGCCTTAGCCCTAACCATCACAACCATATTCAGTGGAATAAATTAGTGAAAAGGCCCCTTCCCAAGACTTCTGATTATATTTTTTTGGTCAAAGCTGTGTTATGTGGGCAACTATAGCTGCATGAAAGGTTAAAAGTGAATAATTCATTTGACAGTTTCTAGAGTAGAGGTAGGCAAAGGATGAAAGGATTGGAAACGGACTTTGGATGAGTCATTCATCAGTAGGTAATAAAAAGTACCTCAAACTTGAGCAGAAGGTGGAAATTGTCATAAGTATAGACAGGGTCTACACAGAGCTCAAGGCAGGGGAACAGTTGATTCTTGGAATAAACTGGAACTAGAGACATGAACATAGTCAGGAGTTTTCCTCTGCTGTCTTTCTTCCTTTCTCTGTATCTGCTTCAACTGTTTCTTTTACTCTGAATACCAACTTCCACTTCATATCTGTCCCATGTGGCAAAACCAAGAAGGAAACAAGTAAATAAACAGGGAAAACCACGCCAGCTGGCTGACAGTAGCTCTTGGCTCTGCATGTTACCGTCTAGAGTTCTGTGCCCAGACCTGGACAGTCAGCTATGGCTGTGTGTGGGATCATACGGTCACAGGTGGCTGCCCCAGGTGCAACTACGTGGAAGGAGGAGGAAGGGCACTCCCTGGAAAAGGGGGGCTGAGCAGACAGTTCAGGGACTGTCCACATCAGCTTCCTTCCTCCCCAGGCGGCTCAGCTCAGATGCCTGCAGTGAGGGAGGGCAGCCTACCTTGCCCTGGCTGTTTTCCCCCGCTCATACCAATGGTACTGACCATGTGTCTGACCCATTCTCTCCTGCCCTTCAAGTCACAGTCACCCTCTGAAGCCCTACTCTTGCCTGCCCACCATGGAAGGGTGACTCTCAGAGCCACGCTGGTTGCTGCCATTCAACTTTGGTGCCGTCCCCTTCTGTTTGGGGGGCAAAAGATGCTCTGTGGGGTTGAGGTGGTGTGCTCTGAGCTCCCTCTAGTTCCCAGCAGGTGGCATGGGAACAGTTGCTGTCCCTTCTTCACGGAGCTGGGCAGACCCAGTGCTCAGAGCAGAGTTCCCTGCTGGCTGTAACCTGCTCTGTTCCTCATCTTTGCAGATCCAGACCCTGTCTCTCAGGAAGGTGGAGGGTAAGCCTGCATGTGATGGTTTATAACAATTGTGGCTGTTGTTTGGCTTCTCTCTCCTGTCTCACACCTATCAATTTACAGGGTGAGGGTGGGTCATGTGGTGTCAGGCCCTCTGGCTGGGTCAGGGAGGGTGAGAAGGCATTTGCTCTGGGTCGGACAGGGCTCCAGATGGTGTCTGCACTGCAGGCATTCTCCACAGCTGGCAGGGTGTCCTGCCTGGCCTGCTCTTCTCCATACGGTGGTGGAGACGTGGGGTGGGGTGGGTGAAGACCCTGGAACCTGTGATAGATGGAGCAGATTCATGAACAGGCTCTTTCTAGGTCACTGTGCCTGTGGTTCAGGCCATGAACCTTTACATTGCTCCCGGCATGTGGGAACCACACATCTATGAGCACGTGGCCTGGTGGGAGTGCATACTGTCCTCCTCTGGGGTGTCTGGTGTCTGTGTGGGTGCATGCGTGGGTGTGCATCCAGCAGAGGGCAGGTGCTGGCATCTGAAGGGAGACAGGTACCCACAGAGGACTGCTCCTGCTTGGAAGACCTTGGTCTGCTGCTTATGAGGCCTGGTGCTCTCACTGCATCCCACCTCCCCTGGCCTGTCCCTTTAGCTACCCTTCTGCCTTTTCCTATCAAGCCACAGGTCTCTTCTGTCCCCCGCCTTAAAGCTAGACATTTCTTTCCCAGCCCTGCAAGCAGTCTGGAGGCATGTTCCCGTGGCCCCAGGCTTCCTGAGTGCTGGGCTGGGATGCATGCCTCTAATAGCAGCTGTGTGCCGTGCGCTTTGTCAAGCACTGCTGATTCGCTGTCTCATTACATCGCGGGCCCATTTGCTGTGCAGGGCCTGTCGTTGGCCTCACTTTCCAGATGAGGGCACCGAGGCTGAGATAGGCTGTGGGACGCACTGCATGGGGCACAGTTGGGGCGGGACAGAGCCCGCACGCGGCTCTGATGTTCCTGCCTCCAGCGTCTGTGCCTGTGACCGCCGCTCCCGCTGCCACTCTCTGTTGAAGAAACAGCGGAGGGCTCGCTCTTTCTGGCTGGCCCTTCCATGGTGACCCACGCTTTTCTCTAAGTCAGGGATGGCCTCCAGGGCATGGGCACCACTAACTGTTCCTGCTCTCCTCAGGGATCCACGAGGGCCCAAAGGTTGTGGCCACTGAAGAGGACTCTTCTGACCAAGGTGGGGCCTCATTTTCTTCTCCAGGCATCCAGTGCAGAAAACAGAGTTACTTCTCTATTCATTATTCAGTTCATGTCTGCTCAACTGAATCTGGCTCCCTGAAGCTGGGGGAAAGGAACTAGGGATATGAAATAAATATTTCTTAAGCACCTTGTATGTGCCAGAGGTGTCCCACACAGGTGCTGACATGCAGTCTGCAGGGTCACTGATGGGGAAACCCAGGCCCAGAGAGGGTCAGTGCCTTGCCCATAGTCACAGAGCCAGCAGGTGGGAGACCCAGGATTTGGAGCCCTGTCTGATACAGAGCTAGTCCCTTGCGCCTGCACTGCCACCTCTCATCCAGTACTGCTCAGAGCAGTGGTTGAGGACACTGTCATGGCTTAAGAGAGCCCTTGCTGTTGTACTGTGTGGGGTGAGTGTGCTGAAGACAATCACACGGGGCCTGACTCTGTGCAGGGCCCCCCAGAGCTCCCTGCAGAGCCCTGGGTGCCTGCTGTGGTGAGTCACTTGGGCAGGGACTGACTTTGATTTGCAGAGCTCTCAGCCGTTTGATTTTAGGTGATGCAACGGGGAAGTGAAAAAATAGACATGCTCCCTGACCATGGGATCCCCCTGGGACAGTCTGGGAGAAGGAGCTTCCAGGGCAGCTCTGAGGGAGCCCACAGAATGCCTGCCCACCAGGGCCCGCCTGCCCCCACCAGGCTGTGACCTGACAATTCCAAAGCGACCCAACACCTGCACCCAGGACAGGTCACCAAGGAGCCCATCATGGAGTAGATAATATTTTCCTTTACTTTTGAGATGGTAATATGTGGTCTTGCCAAAGAAAGGCAAGCAAGGAAAAGGGCACACAGTGAGAACTAGGTCTCCCTCCTGCCCGGCTATCTAGGTTCTTCCCAGAGACCCACTGTTACAGGTTTCTCATCTATCTTGCCAGACATACTTGGTGCAGATATAAGCCCATATGCATATGCAATCTTTTCCTTTTCTCCAAATGCAAGCACATACATACTGTACTGCATGTAGGTATTTATTTTCTTATTTGGGAAATCATCTCATATTCCTTTATGTAAAGCTGTTTTTTCAGGGCTTTGCAGTATTCCATTGGATGGATGAACTAATTTTTATTTAAGTCCTCTCCTACTCCCACTCCCACAGTGCATTTAAACTTGGGAAATGGTAGTAAGAACTAGAGTTCCATTAACTTGGGGGAAAGGTGTCTTTGCATGACACAACCTGTTACTGGACCTTTGCTGTCCAGAGGGGATGAACCAAATCCTCCAGCAGGGGGCGCTGAGTTCTAGTGAGGAGGAGGCTGAAAAGAGTGGGTGCGCAAGCCCCTGGAGCCTATCCTGCTGGGTGGAGGTCTCGCGCACTCACACTGGGCTCAGCCTTTTCACGTGCTCGCTCACCTCTTCTCGTCCCAGACCAGTTGGAGCAGCATCACTTGGAAAACTGTTCAAAATGCAGATGTTCAATTTCTCCACCTCATCCCACACAGACTGAATCAGAAATTCTGGAGGCAGGGCCTCGCAGCCTGTGTTTTCTCCCATCCTCTAGTGCATTCGATTCTTGCTCAAGTTTGAGAACCACTGTGGACCAGTGGCTCTAGAACCAGGTGCATGTTAAGAATTACTCAGGTTGCTTGTACCTATCCGGAGGACCATGCTAGTCCCCCCACTACTGAAATCAGAATGTGTAGGAGGTAGACTCCAGGCATCAGCAGTATTTAAAACTCCCAGCTGATTCCAACATGCAGCCAAGGTTGGGGCCCATGCCGCAGTGCAGACCTCTCAGTGGAGAATCAACCTGGTGGGGCAGCTTGTTAAAACACAGGCTGCTGGACTCTACCTCCAGAACTTCGGGTAGGATTGGCGTGGGACCTTAGGATCTGCAATCCTAATACATTACCAGGTGCAGCAATGCTGCGGCCCACACGTTGAGAATGATTGCTCTAGAATAATTGGTTCTCAGGTTTGGTTGGTTGTTAGAAGGTCTGGGGGGGGTTAAAAATAAATATTAAGGCCTGGGCCCACACTCAGAGGTTCTGATGTAATTACCTTGGGATGGGGCCCAGGTGATTCAAATATGCAGCCAGAATTGAGGTTACCACCCTTAAATGTGAGCTCCTTGAGGGTTTTCTTCTGTTTCCAGCACTGGCCTGCTTACTCTCATATTGTCAGAAAATGTCTATAAGTGCATCAACGAGCTGGTCCAGCAGTAACTGCAGTGGACTGGAGATCCCTTCCAGGAGGCCTTCCCTGAGCCTGGACAGCCCCTTTGCAGCAGTTACCAAGTTGTGTTGTAATTGCTTATTTTGTTACCCTCTGGGTTGGTATTTCCTAAGGTATGGTCTGTGGCTCACTTCCATCAGAAACATCTGAGCAAATTAAAATGTTAGAAGGTCTGGGGTGTTTTAAAAATAAATATTAAGACCTGGGCCCACACTCAGAGGTTCTGATGTAATTACCTTGGCCCTTCTGCAGGTCTGTGGAATCAGACTCTCTGGAGGGTGGGGGCTGGGAGGATGCGTTTTTAACCCATGAGCTGCTGAGGTGTGCTACCGCCTGAGGGAGAATCCCGATCCACACAGTCAACCCGAGGGGAGCAGGGACCTGTCCTATCCTGCCCCACCATTTCAGCCTCTGGACGTGATGGAGCCTGGCATGGCAATGGGGTGCGGACATTGGGTGGGGCCGGGATTATGCTGGAGCCAGCGGTAGGCTGGGCCTAGAATCCAGGAGCAGGACTGAAGTGCAAGTCAGAAAGTCTGAAAGACCCCAGGTAACCTGGGGTGGGTCTGAGCCCGGATCTTGGAGGTCCAGACGGCACAGGATGAGAATCCCGAAGGTGTGTGGGGGGCCTGAGGCAGTGGTACCCAGGGACAGAAACACCCCAGCTTCTGACCCAGGGATGGACACTTGGGTGGGGTCTGCAAGTCCTGGGCTCCCAGGCTGAGTGTGGACCAGGTGGCTGCAGGCGATGCTTTGGGAGTGGAGGTTTCGGACGTCCAGGCTGACCGTGGTGGCTGTCCTCTGTTGCAGAGCTGGAGGACTCCCGAGATGGGCTGCAGAAGGTGCTGGCAGCTGTGAGGCAGAACCCCACCTTGCTGAAGCAGTTCAGGCCAGTCCTGGAGGACGCCCTGGAAGAGAAACTGGAAAGCCTGGGGATAAAGAGAGTAAGCTCAGAGCCGCTGTTCTAAGGGCCGCTCCTACCACTTAGCCCTGGGGAGTTCTTAAACCAACTAATGTTCAATTGCTCTTTACATTGTGGCCTTAGGCATCTCATTTGTTCCAAGTGAGGCGCCTCTGGTACCTGGGGATATAAACCCACACAGCTGCTCCACTCGTCTGACAGTGACAGTGTGGCCTGTCCTCTCTGTTTCCGCCAGTGGCCTCTTGAGATGTCACCCTGTGTCCTGACCTCTCCATTTTCTCTGCACATTGGATTCTTCCTTATGTGTCCCTTTTTCTGACAAAGGAAATTTAATTGGCTTAATCTTGCCTCCAGATGGGGCCTCGGATGGGTGGTCCCCTGGATAGATTAAATGTCCGTTATTGGTAGCACGGCACACGTGGCCATGCTCCATCAGCAGGTGGCTGTGGGTCTGGTGGGCACTGAAAGCCATGTCTGGTACAAATTTGTATTGGAATGCCACTGTTCCCTCATGCTCACGGTAAACCAGAGCATGCATAGTATTACTAAAGGCATCTATGAAAGCTATTATTAAATAAAAACACACCTTGTTATTAAAGAAGCCAAATACCACATCACTGAAAATACTTTTTTTATTAAAGTGTTGTTAATATACAATCTTTTGTTGGTTTCAGACACACATCACAGTGGTTCAACATTCCCCATGATGATCTTATATTATGACTGCAAAGTATTGTGCCCTTTATCCCCCTCCCCCTCACCCCTGCACCCACCCCAACCCCATCCCAACTAGTCACTTCTCATTGTCTATGAGTCTACTGCTCTCTTGTTCATTCCATTTTGCTTTGTTTTTATATTCCACAAATAAGTGAAATAATATGGTATTTGTCTTTCCTCACCTGGCTTATTTCACTAAGCATAATACCCTCTAGGCCCCTCCATGTCATTGCAAATGACAGGATTTCTTTTCTTTTTATGGCTGAATAACATTCCATTGTATATGTGTACCATACCACATCTTTATCCATTCATCTATTGAGGGACACTCAGGTTGCACCCATATCTTGGCTATTGTAAATAGTGCTGTGATAAACATAGGGGTGTATATGACTTCTTGAATCAGGGATCTTGTTTTTTCAGGTAGATTCCTAGGAGTGGAATTACTGGGTCAAATCAAATGGTATTCTATTTTTAGTTTTTTGAGGCACCTTCATATTACTTTCCACAATGGTTGAACTAATATACATTCCCTCCAACAGTGTAGGAGTGTTTCACTTTCTCTGCATCCTCTCCAGCATTTCTTGTTGTTTGTCTTTTGAATGTTGGCCATCCTTACTGGTGTGAGGTGTTATCTCACTGTGGTTTTAATTTGCATTTCCCTTATATATTAGTCATGTGGATCGTTTTTTCATTTGCCTGTTGGACATCTGAATTTCTTCTTTTGGGAAGTGTCTGTTCAGATCCTCTGCCCATTTCATATTTATTTATTTATTATATATTATTTTTATTTTTATCAGGTTATTGCATTTTGGGTGTTGAGGCATGTGAGCTCTTTATATATTTTGGATGTTAACCCCTTATCAGATGAGTCATTTATGAATATATTCTCCACACAGTAGGATGCCTTTTTGTTCTACTGATGGTGCCCTCTGCTGTACAGAAGCTTTTTAGTTTGATGTAGTCCCATTTGTTCATTTTTGCTTTTGTTTCCCTTTCCCAGGGAGATGGGTCCAGGAAAAAATTCATCATGATTATATTCAAGAGATTTTTGCCTACATTTTCTTCTAAGAGTTTTATGTTTTCATGTCTTACATTCAGGTCTTTGGTCCATTTTTAGTGTACTTTTGTGCATGGAGTTAGACAATAATCCACTTTCATTCTCTTACATGTAGCTGTCCAGTTTTTCCAACATCAGTTGTTCAAAAGGCTGTCATTTCCCCCTTGTATATCCATGGCTCCTTTATTGTACATTAATTGGCCACATATGTGTGGATTTCATCTGTGCTCTCTAGTCTGTTCCATTGATCTATGGGTCTTTTCCTGTGGCAGCACCAAATTGTCTTGATTCCTGTGGCTTCGCAATAGAGCTTGAAATCAGGGAGCGTTATCCCCACACCTTTGTTCTTCTTTCTCAGGATTGCTTTGGCTATTTGGGGTCTTGTGGTTCCATACAAATTTTAGAACTATTAGTTCTAGTTCATTGAAGAATGCTGTTGTTATCTTGGCAGGGATTGCATTGACTCTGTAGAATGCTTTATGCAGGGTGGCCATTTCGACAATATTAATTCTTCCTATCCATGAGCATGGGATAGATTTTCATTTATTGGTGTCTAATTTCTCTCCTGAGCTTCTTGCAGTGTTCAGAGTATGGGTCTTTCACCTCCTTGGTTAGGTTTATTCCTAGGTATTTTCTCCTCTTCGATGCAATTGTAAATGGAGTTGTTTTCCTGAGTGTTCTTTCTGCTAGTTCATCATTAGTATCTAGGAATGCCAGATTTCTGTGTATGAATTTTGTATCCTGCAACTTTGCTAAATTCAGTTATTACTTCTAGTTGTTTTGGGTGGATTATGTAGGGTTTTCTATGATATGTCATCTGCAAACAGTGACAGTTTAACTTCTTTACTGGGATGCCTCTTATCTCTTTGTCTTGTCCAATTGCTGTGGTTAGGACCTCCAGTATTATGTGGAATAAAAGTCGAGAGTGGGCATCCTTGTCTTTTTCCAAATCTTAGAGGAAAAGTTTTCAGCTTTTTGCTATTAAGTATGATGTTGGCTGTGGGTTTGTCATGTATGGCTTTTATTATTTTGAGGTACTTGCCCTCTATACCCATTTTGCTTAGAGTTTTTATCATTAATGAGTGTTGAATTTTGTCAAATGCTTTTTCAGCATCTATTGTGATGATCATGTGATTTTTGTCCTTCCTTTTGTTGATGTGGTGTATGATGTTGATGGATTTTTTAATATTGTACCATCCTTGCATTCCTGGAATAAATCCTACTTGATCATGATGGATGATCTCTTTGATGTATTTTTTAATTTTGTTGAGGGTTTTTACATGTATGTTCATCAGGGATATACATCTGTAATATTCAGTATTTCTGTTGTTTTTGCCTGGTTTTGGTATTAGAGTGATGCTGGCCTCACAGAATGAGTTTGGAAGTATTCTGTCCTCTTCTACTTGGAAAACTTTAAGGAATATGGGTATTATGTCTTCTCTAAATGTTTGATAAAATTCAACAGTGAAGCCAACTGGTCCAGGGGTTTTGTTCTTAGGTAGTGTTTCGATTACCAGTTCCATTTCATTGCTGTAATGGGTCTGTTCAGATTTTCTCTTTCTTCCTGGGTCAGTCTTGCCAGGTTGTATTTTTCTAGGCAGTTGTCCATGTCTTCTAGGTTGTCCAATTTGTTGGTGTATAATTTTTCATAGTTTTCTTTAATAATTCTTATGTGCATACACTCTTTTTTTCTTGATAAGTCTGGTTAGGGTTTTATGTATTTTATTTTCTCAAAGAACCATCTTCTGGTTTCATTGATTTTTTTCTATTGTATTCTTCTCAATTATTTATTTCTGCTCTGATCTTTATTATGTCCCTCCTTCTTCTAACTTTGGGCTTCATTTGTTCCTCTTTTCATAGTTTCTTTAATTGTGATTTTAGACTGTTTATTTGGGATTGTTCTTGTTTCTTGCAGTAGGCCTGTATTGCTATGTACTCTCCTCTTATAACTGCCTTTGCTGCCCTCCACAGATATTGCATTGTTGTGTTTTTGTTTTCATTTGCCTCCATGTATTGCTTGATCTCTGTTTTGATTTGTTCATTGACCCATTGATTATTAGAAGCATGTTGTTTAGCTCTATGTGTTTGTAGGCTTTTTGTTTTCTTATGTAATTTATTTCTACTATACTATTGTGTTTGAGAAACTGCTTGATACAATTTCAATCTTTTTGAATTTTGTGGCATGGTATGTGATCTATTCTAGAGAATGTTCCATCTACACTTGAGAAAAATGTGTATCTGCTGCTTTTGGGTGGAGTGTTCTGTAGATGTCTGTCAAGTCTGTTTGATCTAGTGTATTGTTCAGTGCCTCTGCTTCCTTGTTTATTTTCTGTCTGGTTGATGTCTACAGATGTGAGTGGTGTGTTAAAGTCTAGAATGAATGTGTTACCATTTATTTCCCCCTTTAATTCTTTTAGTTTATATTGTACATATTTAGGTGCTTCTATGTTGGGTATATAGATATTTATAATGGTTATATCCTCTTGTTGGACTGATCCCTTATCTTTATTTAATGTCCTTCTTTGTCCCTTGTTACTTTTTTTCTTTGAAATCTGTTTTTTTCTGATATAAGATACTGCTAATCCTGCTTTTTTCTTCCTACTATTTGCATAGAATATCTTTTTCCATCCCTTCACTTTTAGTCTGTGTATGTCTTTGGGTCTGAAATGAGTCTTTTGTAGCAGCATATAGGTGGGCCTTGCTTCTTCATTCATTCTTCCACTCTGTGTCTTCTGATTGGTACATTCAGCCCATTTACATTTAAGGTGATATTGATAGATATGTACTTATTTCCATTTTATTAACTGTTTTCTGGAAGTTTTTGCTCCTTCCTCCTTCTTCCTTTTTTCCTTTCTTATACTCTTCTCTTGTTATTGATGATATTCTTTAGTGTTGTAGTTGGATTTCTCATTTATTTGTTTATTTATTTTGCATATGTGTGTGTGTGTGTGTGTGTGTTTTCTGTAGGCTTTAGTTTTGTGGTTACCAAAGGTTTAAGGGCAGCTTACTTACTATATAATAGTCTATTTTAAATTGCTGATCACTCTATTTGAAGCGAAATATAAATGTACTTTTTCCCCCTTCTTCCTCCTCCACTTTTTTCATTTTTGATGTCATAATCTGCTCTTTTTGTGAATCCCTTCACTAATTTTGTGTATAGTTGATTTTGTTTTTGTTTTGTTTTAATTTCATACTTGCTTGATAATTTGTTGGTCTACTACCTTCCCTGTGTGTTTATTTTCACTGGTGGAAGCTATTTAGCCTTAGGGACATTTCCATCTATAGCAGTGCCTTTAACGTACCTTGCAAGGCTGGCTTAGTAGTGGTGAATTTCTTCTACTTTTGTTTGTCTGGAAATTGTTTAATACCTGCTTCAAATTTAAATGATAATTTTTCCAGGTAGAGGATTCTTGGTTGGAGGTCCTTCTGTTTCATTACATTAAATATATCATCACCTTCTGGCCTGTACAGTTTCTGCTGAGAAGTCAGCTGATAGCCTGATGGGATTTCCTTTTAAAGTAATCATTTTTCTTTTATTGGCTGCTTTCAACACTCTCTCCTTATCATTGATCTTTGCCATTTTAATTATTATGTGTCTTGGTGTTGTCCCTTTTGTTCCTTTTGTTAGAGTATCTCTGTGCTTCCATGACCTGAGTGTCTATTTCCTTTCCCAGATTGGGAAAGTTTTTAACAATTATTTCCTTAAAGAGACTTTCTATCCCTTTGTCTTTCTCTTCTCCTGGTACCCCCATTATGCAAATATTGTTTCATTTGGATTGGTCACACAGATGTCATGACTCTTTCATTCCTAGATGTCCTTTTTTCTCTGTTTCTCAGCCTCTTTGTTTTCCTGTTCTCTAGTTTCCATTTCATTTACCATCTCCTCTACATGCTCTAATCTACTCTAAAATCCCTCCATTGTATTTTTCATTTCAGACACTATCCTTCAGCTCTGAGTGGCTCTTTTTCAGGTCTTCAATCTCTTTGTTGAAGTCCTCCCTGAGATCTTGGATACTTTTCTGTAAATCTGTGAGCAAGTTTATGACTTTTATTTTCAAATCTTTATCAACAAGACTGATGATCTCCATTTCATTTAGCCCTCCTTCTAGGGTTCTGTTCTGTAGTTTTGTTTGGACCATATTCCTCTGCCTCCTCATTTTGTCAGGGTTTCTGTGTTTCTTCCTCTGTATTAGATGACTCTGCTATGCTTCCTGACCTATAGAATTGCTTGATGAAGAGGGCAAGAGCTTTATGGTGCCCAAAAGCCCAATATTTTTTACTCTCTGGTGTTTAGTCCTATTTTGCAGGGACCACAGCTGCTGGTGTGCTGTGGGCAGAGTATCTTTCTGTGCTGGCAGTTTCCTTCAGCTGCCACCTTTGTGATCAACTCAGGAGTCTCTGTTGAGCTTGCTATGTGTGGGGCCACCCACTGCCAGGCCTGCAGCAATGACGGGGCTGAAGGGATAAGTGGGGTAGGTGAGATGATGTGCAGGTTTGCCTGGGTTGGATGTGCAGCCCTGGGTTTGGACACCAGCATGGAGGAAGGAGCTTTTGGGGCTGGGTCTTGCAGGCACCTCCCAGTTGGGCTGAAACAGAGCCAAGAAAACTGGGAGAATATCCTTCTGCCTGCCAGGCAACAAAATCTGATGCTGTTGCTGAGTGGGTTGGCTCCTGGCAGCAAGTGCAGGGAGTAGCCTTGGGGCTGAGTTGCCAGCAAAGGGGGATGGAGCATCTGGGGCTCCCAAGAGTCCCCGATTTGTTGGGCTGAGGAAGGGCTGGGGGAGTATCCCCTACCTGCCTTTTCTCCTGAGGAGAGAGTTCTATCCAACCCTCTCTCCTCTGGTAGCCCTCCCACTGACAAGTCTTTCAAACTGCCACCTCTGCTTGGGTCTCAGGACTGACAGAGCATGCCTGTCCTCCACAATGGCTGGAGTCTCAGCCCCCAAGTGTTCCCCTGTCCCTGGTGTCCAGCCCTGCCAATCACCAGAACCAAGTGTAATATGGGCTCGTGATCATGGGACAAATCTCCAGGCATGGGTGTGCAGTGCTCCTGGGCTCCTACCCCCTTCTTGCTCTGTTCCTCTTTATCCTACCTGTAAGCTGGGTTTGTGGGGTGAGCTTGGGTCTTGCTCTTGATCTTGGCTCTGCCACTTTACCTTTTTCTGTGTGGTCTTCCCTTCTTCCTCACATGTAGGTGTTCTGTTCCACAGTCTTTAGATCAATTTTTTAGTTGTATTTGCTGTATTTTCTTCTTTTATGTGTTTTTGGGAGGTTTCTACATTGCCTACCTACTCCACCATCTTTTTCCAGAACCCCCTGAAAATACTCTTTCTACAGAGTAAAATTAGAAAAAAAAAAGATATCTAGGTTTTATTTAGTGTGTTCACTAACCTGACTATTTTCAGTTCCTGCTCAATCTAACTTTGGCTCTATATTCAGACTTAATTAAAACATTTCTTTCTAACCTTGAATGAAGCCTCATGGATTCTGCTTGGATGTCAAAAGCTGGAGAAACTTCTAGTAAGTCTTGGATAAGTGCCTGGCTTTTGGTTTTTGCAGTTAATTTTTTTAAACCTTATTAGCCATGGAGGACAATGTGTCTGGCCTATTGAGAGTGCCTGAGGTATAAAAAGGAGCAAGCCATGGTCTCCCAACCTCAGATTTAGTTGGGTGGTAGAAAAGCATGTCCTGTCTAAGCCCCGTATACTGAGATGTCAATGCAAAGTTGTGTCATCTTGCTCTGCATGCTTTGATGCGGCTCTCAACCCTAAGCCACCTCACATGCAGCAGTGTGTGAAGCCACTGCTCACTCTGCCTGACACTCATCTCATCCTCTCCCAGAAAGCGCCTGGCCCTGATCAGTGACTCCAGGCTGGCAGCAGGTTGGAGAGGCTTAGGGGAAGGGGAAGGAAGGGAGGCCCTGTCTCCAAAGGGGAACTTCTGTCCCTTCAAGGGTACAAAGGGAATCCCTACTCAGGTTCTCAGACAACTGGAGCCCATCCTGAGAGCCCAGCGGGAGAAGGCTAGGTGGTTTCCTAAATTCTGGAGTCTGAGAGAAAAACTCATCAAGGAAGTCACCAGCAGGATGAAAGAGAGAGTGAGGAATGGGGCCCTGGCATCCCAGCCAGGTGGCAAGACTCCAGGTAAGCTGGTGAGAGGCTTCCTTGGGGACTCTGATGCAGGAGAGTTGTTTACATATGAGGAGGGCATTATCCCTGCCCCCTTTGAGGCATTGCTCTGAAGGGTGGCATGGGAGGGTCCTCACTGGTGTTGAGTCTAAAAATCCTCTGTTGGGAACCGAATCCGGGGGTGGGGTGGGGTGGGCACCAGGTCATGCAGGGAAGTGGGAGGTGAGCCAGAGGCAGTGCTGTAGCTGCCCCTGAACGTCCCCAGCTCAGATAGGTAGCTTCACCCATAATTGGGTTCTACACTGCTCTCCCTGCTTCGCTCCAACAGAGAGCAGCCCATCCCTTTTCTGGCTCTATACACCAGGTATGTCGGCTGGGAGAAGGCCCAGGGCTTTTTCCACTGAGAGCATTGGGGCTGCAGGAGGGGGCAAATATCAAACAAATGAAGACTCTGCTCTGGAGCAGTGGGAGGGTGTGCAAGGCTGCGCGGGTTCTGCATGCAAACAAGCGCTCAGAGCTCAGAGTTGGTTCCCTGGGCTGTGGCACAGGTGCTGCTTTGTCCCAGGGATTGTGACAAGGAAAAGCCCTGTGGCTCTTGTGGAGGATTAAAGTATGTGGATGAGGATCCTCAAGTCTCTGTCCTCAAGGAACTTACGGGGCAAGACCATTTGTGTTCCTGGGTTGGAGAGCTCCCCACTTCTAGAGGCTTCTGAGATCCACTGGACTGCTATGATTGGAAGCTTCGGGGAGGGCTTCAGCAGCTCTGGGGCTGCTCGTGCAGGGTGATGTCCCAGCCCTGTTCACACATGGGCATACATACCCAGAGGTACTCCGTGTCCAGGCACACCCAACCTCAGCTCTTCGTGCAAAGGAATTTCCAGAGTATAGGCCACATAGCTCTGGCCATATAGCTTATTTTAGTTGGCACACAGACCAATCATTTAAAAATTTACTAAGGCTGGCTGTGTTTCAGGGCGTGCCACCTCAGCTGGTAAACCGCCCGGGGAAGAGGTAACGTGCTGGAGCCAAGAGCAGGGGAATGGGAGCCCCGGGGAGAGGACCCTCTGAGTCCAGGCTACCAAGAGAGGAGAGCCATCTGCACTTCCAGGTGCTGCCCTCCCCTCTGGCCCTTGGTCCAGTAGTCGGAAGGCTGGAGTGAGATCCCCCTGCCCCTCTCCCCTTCGCTGGCCTTGTGGTCCTGCTTTCCAGGGCATGTTCTCGAGGTGTGAGGTAAGTGCTGTGTCCTCACAGCACGGGTAGACCTCTTTCTCCAGCCCTAGGCCTGCTCATCCCCTTTCTAGGTCCCAAGAGTGCTACACAAATGCCCACCTCCCATCTCTGCTCAGACCGTACCTCTTATGCTTTGGGGCAAAGCTGTGGGATGTAGCAGGGCAGTGGCAGGAGCCCTGCATTTGGGGTGGTCCACAGCCTTGTCAGCAGCTACCGCTCACTTCCATGGAATCATGAGCCTTGAAGCAAGTCCCTGGATCTCTTGCAGCCTCTGTGAAGTAGAAAACGATACCCTCTGAAGGTGTGGGGGGCTAACTGGATGTTGCGCCAAAGTGCATAGTTGGTGTCTGCGCACATAACTGTAGCTAGTATTGTAATTTTCCTGCAGGAAGTTTGTCTGTCTTCCTCTTCTCTTCAGTTTACTCTTTTCTCTAGAGAAGGTTTCTTCTGTGTAAATGCATTGCATGAGAGCAGCGTTTTTCAAATATTTTTTATCTTGAAATGCAGTAAGAAATTCTTACACTGCACACACGTAAGAGTTTCAGGGAACAGTCCTTACTCTGACCCCCTTCGATTGCACTTCTCTCCTCCTTTCTTTCCATGAAAAAGTTGGTGATTCTAGATCCCCCCCTGGCCCCCAAAGGGTGTTGGAGAACTTTGGGAAATGAAAGGCCTGTGTCTGCCCTTCTGCCATATCACTCTTGCCCCAAACGCCTGTGCTGAGAGGAGGGCGTGGTGACCTGTGGCGACACCTGCTGGAAGCGGCACCTTCCTGCAAGGCTGCTGGCTCCAGTGGCTGCAGTTTGGGTGGGTGGACAGGGTATTTCTGCTTCTAGGGTGCTGCTGAGGGTTGGCGGGGGTGGAAGGGTGAGCTGAAGACCTGCTGGGCCCAAGTCCAGACCTGCTGACTCCTGTATGTCTCCTGGAACAACAGCTGCTCTCCTGATTTATTAAAAGACTGTGGTCCCAGCCCTGAGTCTGGCCAGCAGGGGGCACCAGGTTGGGGGCAACGACCAAATCTGCTGTGGTTATTGTGGGGTGTATACTGTAAGAGAATATCTTGTCCATTTCTACTGTGTTGGAGCCTCTTTCTACATCCTCTTAGACTTGGGGTCCCAGCTGGGTATCCCCTGATACTCATTCCTACCTGTGTTTCTAGTCAAAAGCCAACGGAACCAAATGGTTACCAAAGAATCCCAGCCACAGACCAGGACCCTGCATGTGGCAGCGCCATCCAAGCTGGCAGAGCCACCGACAATGGCTGGTCAGGGTCGCAGCAGCCGTGGCCCTGGCCCGGCCCCTGTGCCCATCCCTACTCCACACCCCCGAGCTCACGGACCCTCCGGTACCTCTGCTTCCCCAGGGCCTGGGCTGAGGTGAGCGCCGGTCTCAGCACCCTCACTGAGCCTGGGTGGTGGCTCCCCACCTCAGGCAGCACCTGTGCTGGGCTCCCCGCTGGCTTCTGCAGACAGGTGAGGGGCAGAGACAGAAGTGAACCGAAGGGGTCGCAGGTAGGATCCTGAGCCCCCAAGAAGAGACTGGGGCCCTCTGCTCTTGGCCAGGGCAAACCTGCCCTCTCTTCAGCAACTCTTCTCCAAGCCCTGCTTGCCACACTGGAAGTGCTGGGTCCTCGCCTTCTAAGGGGAAGCTGGTGTAGCCACCACACTCCAGGGTGATTCCTGGCTGCTTGTTACTGGGGTCCAAGGAGGGGAGCAGGGCTGGCTCTGGATACGCCAAACACGTTTGCAGGTGGGGAAGTTTGGCTTTTAAAGTTTCCTTTCTGGCCCGTGCATCCCTCATTTCTCCTCCATGGCAGTACACCCCCGTTCGGTTCTGAAGAGGACGCGGAGGGAGATTCCGGGCGGCGGGCGTCTCCTCCACCCCCACGAGTTCCTTCCAAGATGGGGCCCCAGCCAGAGGACAACGGGGACTGGTCTGACACTGAGACCTCCGAGGGGAGTGTGCAGCCTCCTGGCGAGGAGGGCTCAGGTGGGCTGGCGTCCTCAGGTGGGTGGTCTGGGACCACTGGGGTAGCCCTTCTCCTGCCAGATTTCTCTAGGAAACATCCTTTGATTTTCTTTGAGTTTTATGGTTTGGCAACTCACTGTGACTTGAAGAGAATGAGCCCACTCCCCTCCGACTTTTCCTGGGATAGTGGAGATATCAGGAAGAGAACAGAATTTGAGAGAGGTTTATTTTGTCATCGAATTGTTTAACTCTTGGAGGCTGGGGAGAGCCCACTCACCCCTTCCTCCTGTAGGTTCTTAGGGTAGAGAATGAACACGGTGGCAGACCCGGTGAGATTCAAGTGTTGCTGTGATGATGGCGATAGGCCCAGCGAGGCCTAAGTCACAGGCTTCTGTTACAGCTGGGTTGCCTCCTGAGGCTGAAGTGAGAACCCTTGCAGCCTCCCCAGACCCAGACACTGACCACACCTGAGCACGGGGCTGGGCCAGATAGCAGACCCTGAGTGGGCTGAAGCAGGCCGCGAAGCCCCGGCACAGGTGCGGGCAGAGGGGCAGAGGGAAAACGGAAGTGGGCATTGCCAACTGTCGCCCAGCCAAAACACGGCCCAGGGGATGTCCAGTCCCTGGGCTTGGCCCCCTCCTGTGGGTAAGAGAGAATAAGAAGGTGTGAGGAGACCCTGGGAGGGTGTCCTCCATGCTTGCCCAGCCTGGAGGGAGGGCGGTTTGCCCAGACGCCGCGCGTGAGGCAAGGCTGCCACACGCATCCTTACCGATGTCCAGACTAAGCCTCTGAGACCGTAAATTATTAGTTCAACATCACAGAACAAGTATCATGGAAAACTGAGAGTCTGTATTATATTTCTGAAATTAATGTGTTGGATTCCTTTTTTTTTTTTACTTGAAGTTTTTTTGTCCCAAAGGAACAGCCTTTAGCTGTTTTCCTACTGTTTGGAATATGCAGTGCAGTCTTTTCTGGTGCTTGAGTTAATTAGCACCAGATCAGGGTCACCTGATTCCCCATCATCCCAGTAAAAGTGGCCTCCAGGGCAAACATAGGGTACAACTAGGTTCAGTTACAATGAGTATTTTGACAAACAGACTTCTCTGTAACAGAAACATGTCTAACAGACATCATTTCTTAAACAAAAGAATGGCAGAAAGTGTGGTTTCCCTGCTGACCTTTGCAAAGGGAGGGTGACAGCTTCAGAAGGTAACAAGGAACCTTCAGAGCAGGTGCCCAGGGCTCCCCCCCATGCCTTTGGGCACAGCAGCCTTCTTAATCTCACAAGGTCTTTGCTCTTTTCAGCAAAGAGACAGAAATTCAACTTGATGTAAACGGCATCACAGAACTTTAAGGGAAATGTGGTTAACTGGAGTGAAAATATCCATTAAACTTGTCACTTTCTAACAAGTTACGGTGACTGAGCATTTTCCTTCTCAAAACTGCTGAGTCAACTCCCATTCTCTCAAGATTTTCTTACAAAACTGTTAATGGACATGGGTGTGGCATCTGGCTTCCAGTGCCTTTTCTAGCACAGGCTTAGGTAAAGAATATGGAAGTGACAGTTGAGTAAGCGGAAGTCCCAGGATGTAAGCCCAGGTCTGTGCTGTCTGCACATTGCACACTCTTACTGGGTTCAGAAGAACTTCATCTTGTCCACAGCACATTCCAAGCTGCCAGTCCATCCAGATCCACCTGTCTTGCCAATGGGTTTTAGCCCTGGGCAAGTTCACTATGGGATCAATGAGACCAAAGACATGACAATGGAATGTTCTTGGGGTGAAAGGGTTATACCCAACTTTATTCCCACGGTGGCAGGTCAGTCACTAGAATCCCATCCACTCAGAGCGAGTCTGCCTGCAGCAAACCGGTCTCTGGCTCTGGGCTTCTCTGCCCACACAGCCGTCTCAGTCTCTGTCCTCAGTGCTGCCACCACCCCAGTCTCTGCTGTCCTGCAGCCTTGCAGCTGTGCCACTGTGTCACCCAGAGCACTGGGTGGGGCTCTTTATATAGAGTCAGTAACCACATATTGCCCGCAAGTGTAGCGAGCTAGCTGACCAGGGCCAGGTGAGAACCCTGGCCACAGGAACCTGCACTTTATCCACCAGAACCAGATTTTTGGAGACGTATTGATGACGACTGTGATCGTGAAGTATTGCCAGGTGGGGCAATAATGTTTCAATTCCTTTGTTGTAAAATGAGAGAAGGTATCTGGACAAGATGGTTAGTGAGGGACACAGTGCCAGGTACATAATAGGCCCTTCACAAACATTTCTGGAACGAATCAATGAGCCAAGGACTGTTGTAGCTCTAGACGTTCACTCAGGCCCTCAGCCTTTTGAATCCTGGAAGGCTGTGGTTAGCTTCCTGCGTCTTGGCCATTCCTGAGATCTGGACGTCCACCTTGGTGTACCCGGTCACCAGAAGTTCATCACAATCTATGTCCCTGCAAAGCCCCCTCCTGCACAGAGTTCCAAGAATGCCTGTCTGGCTCTCAGCCCTCCTGTGCTAATTTCACATAGGATACTTCTTGTGTCAGTGAAGACGTTGAGGGAGGGTGTGTCAGCATGTTAGCCTTGCCGCTCGGTGTGTCAGCATGTTAGCCTTGCCGTTCATGTTCCAACTGAGTAGAGGCTCTGCTTCTACCTCCCATTAAGAGGGAAAAAGAGATTCTGAAGCCTCTGTCGCATGCTGTGTGGTTGAGGGCGTAGAGACGTCTTCAGGGTGCCCCAGGCCTCCGGGTCACCGTGCATGATGGCCTGGGCCTTCTCTCTCTCCTTGCTCCTCCTCTGCAGTTGCCCTTCTTCCTTCCTCCTGGACTTCTGCACACTCCGTCTATCCACACCGGGGCCTGGACACAACCCACAAGGACGTAGCATTCATTCTCTGGTGTTTTCTCTTGGCTTGCTTTCCAGGGACACTGGTGCAGTCGATGGTCAGAAACCTGGAGAAGCAGCTAGAGGCTCCAGCGAAGAAGCCAGCTGGAGGGGTCAGTCTGTTCTTAATGCCCAACGCTGGGCCACCGAGGGCTGCCATGCCAGGAAGGAAGCCTCAGGTAGGGTGTAGGACACTTGGTGGTTGCCCTGCCATTCCCCACAGAGCCAGCTCTGAGTTTTGGGCATCTGGGGTGGAGGAGGAGGGTCCAGGCAGTGTCAGCCTTGGCCGTAATGGGACAGTGTAGATGACATTACTAGAGAGATGGCCGCTTTCAAATGCTTGCTGTTTGTGTCCTTGTTACCATTTAAGAGGCTTTTGATTCATTAAACAAGGAACTGCTCAGTAGCTGGTTTCTCCTGCCCACTTAGGCTTCCATTTCCCGCCTCTGAGGAAGTCCGGACCTGGCTCTGGGTCTGGCTTCCGCAGGAGCTGCTCTCTCCGGGCTCTGCTCAGCCCACGGAGGGCCTGCCTCCTTCCTTCACTCCCTCGGGGACACCGAGACCTGGCTGGGAGCACAGCAGATTGATTTTCAAAGACAGGTTATGGAGTCACATCGTGCAGCACATGCATGTGGCTGCCTACATGCAGTGGGGATGTTTGTTACATTTCGTCCACATATTCGTGGCCTTGCCTCTCTCAGCCTCTAGCCACCATCAGGTTTAGAACTGGGAGGCTCAGCCTGTCCACTGTATGACCTTAGGAGACCCTGCTGATGGCCCCCGTCACACCCTTGCTACTTCCTTAGGCAGAAACATTTTCAGTTCTCATCACCTCATATACCTCTCTCTCCTTCTTCAATCAAAAGGGCGCATCCTGGGATGACCAACATATTGCTCTAAAATTCAGAAGTCACTTCACTAATAACTCCATAAAATTCAGAAGTAGGGCCATCACTTTTTGGTTCTTAATAGCATAACTACCGCCCTTCACCCCCTCCCCCCCTCCCCCCCTTTACAACATGATGTGTCTGGTCTTTCGTGCACCTCATGTGTTGTGTTTGTGAGTAATGGGGCCAGATCATCCTAATTACTTATGACAATTCCCTTACTGTAGAAGGGCACCAACAGCCCGGAAGCAGGTTGAGGCACTGCTCATAGCTTGCTGTCCTGGGCCCTGGGTGGTTTCTGACCGGGTGGCCTTACATTCCAGGAGAAAGTGCCCAGGATGCTTACATGAGGGTCCACATGGCCTGGGCCTTGTGCCAGCAGGGGCTGAGAGCTCTGGAGGGTGACTGTGCTCTGGGCAAGCCCATTGGCTGCAGCCAGGCCCTGTCCAGGCGGAAGGCTCCCTGGCATTCCGGAGGACCCTAGTGTTCCTTCACTCAGTGTTTACCTGGCCTGAGAGAAGCAGTCTGAGACGGGGTCTGGTGGGCACTGGAGCCCCTGATTCAGCTCAGAAATTTGGAAAAGTCAAGGGTCTGGGCTTCCAGCTCCATCAGCGTGGAGCATTAAGAAATCTGCACAAAGTTAGAGTTACAACAAGGGCAACCTGATTTGCCATCGGCCTTTCTGAGAGCTTGCCTTCGTTTTGTTGGAGTCTCAGGACTGTCTGAAATTCTCTGAGCCCAGGTCTCTAAAGCAGGTCCTTGGGCAACAACCTAACAACCAGGAGGAGCAGCACCTCCTAATGCTTTCCTCCCAGTCTGCGCTTTGTCCCCTTGTCCGTCCGCATTTCCATCTGCCCTGCTGAAGTGCCTTCTCTCCTCCCCTTTCCCTCTGCACAGCTCTCGGATGATGAGAGTGACTTGGAGATCTCATCCTTGGAGGATCTCCCCCAGGACCTGGACCGGATTGGGAAACCGAGACCTCTGTCTCTCTCAAAGCTCCTGGAGAAGTTTGGCACCAGCCCTCGGGGCCCTGGCCACCCCAGGGTGCTTGGCTGGTGATCCTGTCCCCAGGTGTGGCTGCGGCCAGCTCAGGGCCCACTCCGGCAGAACAGGCTGCTGGGCTGCTTGTCTTCAGTGATGGAGAGGTCTTCTCCCTTGGAGAGACATGGAGCAGAAGATGGATGTGATTTCTCCCCTCCTGCCTCCTACCCTGCCCCAGAGTGCTAGGGGGGCCTGGCTGGGTGTCTTCGGATCCCACAGCTTGAGCAAGGGTGGTAATGAGCAGTTTCCTTCCTCCACCTCCTCCGGACTGAAAAGAGCCACTTGGTCTCTATTCCCCAGTGTTCAGTAAGCCTGTGGGAATGCTGTGGGGATGGGTCTTCTGTGTGCCTCCCTGTGTCATTCGTGGTTGATCCTGTGCCAAGTCATCCACCTCTCACGGCCGAGGTGGCGTGCGGGTACGGGTGGATAGTGCAGAAAGTTTGGGGAGCAATCTAGTGACAGAGGTTAGTGTGCATATTACAGGCTGCCCAGTGCAGCCGGGAGTGGTCTTGGAGAGCTTCCCAGAGTTGACGTCTGGCAGTGTTCACTCTTGGGTAGGTGGGAAGGAAGCCTCATAGCCACCAAAGGACCACACATTTAATTTCTGATGTTAGGTTATAAGTATAACCGCTGTACTTTTTTAAATGTGAAAAGCATTAATTTATTGTGTGTAAACATTGAAATACCGCATGACTTTTAACTCTCGGGTTTTCTGCATTATTCCTAGGGCCTCAGCAGGGGCAGTCAGGGGTGAAACAACTTGCACTCAATCGTGTCGGTTAAGCCAGAGCACAGAGATCAAGGGCTGTGTGTGGGACTTGGGGCCAGCCCAGCCCTGGCTGGCTGGGGCGTCAATTCCCTTTGTGTATCCCATACCTCTGAAAGCTGAGAATGGAGACAGACAGTTCCAGTGGCTGTGTGGGGAGGAGAAGGGGCCACGAGTGGGGAGTGGTGGTGGGGCTTTACCCCCATTCCAGCAGTCTGCCAACAAAGTCCTGTTTTCCCTTCACCTGGGTTTGGGCAAGGGATGCATTAAAGATGTGATGCCCCTGGCTATATCCCGGTTCCCTGCAGCATTGAGCAAACTTCCCGTGCCAGGCCCTCACGTCACACACACACGCCCGAGGTCAGTTGTTCGCCTCAGACTTGTTTCTGACACTGAGAGGTGGCACGATCTGCTTGCAGGAGCCCGGAGGTGTGGGAGAGCAACACTACCAGGGCAGCCCACATGCAAGGTGGGATGCGAGTTGGTGAGTAACCAGTCCGGCCCTACCATGCTGCGGTAGGACAATTCTGAGGTCTTTCAGGCAGTTTCTCAGAGTCCCCAGTGGGAGTGAATCCCAGTTACCTACAGCAATCACTACTTACCAATGTGCCCTTTACTGGCCTCTCTCCCTCCTGTTCCATCTTTCTCACTTCTGCTTCTTGGGAGCATCTCTGAAATGAATTAACCTGTACCCAAGTCCTTGCCTCAGGCTCTGCTTTTAAGGGGAACCCAAATGAAATAGATGTGTGTACACATGTGTCTGCCATGTACACATAAACTGGTGATAATTACCAATGAGAATGACTCTGTTACTGAATGCTCATTATTAAGTTTTATGTTTCCATGTGTGTTTATCTACTTTAGAGACTAACATATTAGTTTTGCATTTCTATCCTGTTTACTCCTTCCCACATCCAAATACATTTTAAAAACTTTTGGCAAGATTTATAAGAACTTTGGAGTGTATGTACATTAGTTAGAGTTCTCCAGAGAAATAAAAGCAATAGGATTTATGGATTTATCTATCTATCTATCTATCTATCTATCTATCTATCTATCTATCTATCTATCTATCTATCTATCTATCTTCATCTATATCTATCATCTATGTATCTATATCTACTTATGTACCTATCATCTATCTATCTTGATATGGGGGGATTTATTATGGGAATTGGTCACATGGTTATGGAGGCTAAGAAGTCACATGACTTACTATCTGCAAGCTGGAGAAGGAAAGTTGCTGGTGTCAGTCCTAGAGTCCAAAGTCCAAGAGCCAGGAACTGTGATGTTCATGGGCAGGAGAGGATAGACACCCCAGCTCAAGAAGAGACAGCTAATTCCTTCTTCCTCTGCTTTTTGTTCTATTTGGGCCTTTAGCAGATTGGATGATGCCTTACCACGTTGGTGAGGGTGCATCTTCTTTACCGACTCTACTGATTGAAATGCTAATCTCTTCCAGAAACACCTTGAGAGAAACACATAGAAATACTGTTGTATCAGCTTTCTGGTCATCCCTTAGCCCAGTCAAATTGACACATAAAATTAACCATCACAATATGTAACAAATGATTTAGAAATTACACAGATGATAAGATTGGTGTAAGAAAATTAGAAAGCAGATAATCACAAAGAAAAATAAATTAGAATAACCCTTAAATCCAAAGTCAGCTACCATTCAACATCTAGGTATACATGCACTGATTAAAAAAATATGTATGTCTCTTTCCTAGGGTTCAACTATGTTTATTTTTCTCTAGCTTGACTTTCCTTCTTGAAAATAGATTATAAATGTCCTTACATCATTATATGAATATCCACATCATTATATTTAATGGCCATGTAGTATTACAAGGTAAGACTACAAAAATTTGTTTAGTCATTTCCTCTTTGGGCCTTTGATAAATCATGAAATGATAAACAAGTTGTGTATATACATCTTTGTGCACTTAACTAAGTTTTCCTTAGACTAAACAGAAGTGAGGCTGCTGGACCAACATAGAAATGAAAGGCAGCACTGTATTCCAGGCACTGGCCCAAGTTTCTTATGAATATTCACTGATTGAGCCTTACAGCAACCCTTTGAGGCGGTGCCACTGTTTCAGACTTTTTACAACTAGAAGCTTGCTTTGCTTTGAGTCCTCTCACCACTAAGTGGCACAACTTGGATCTGGCCGTCTGACCTGGGCCAGCAGGCCCTGGAGCCGAGGCTCCTAAGTATGTGCTTCTGAGGATTTTGGCCGCATATTGCCAAATTCTCTCCGGAAAACTGGAACCAATTTAGTTTGCTGCTCACTGTGTGCATTTTCATTCCCTTGCCACCAGGGGGTGTCGTTCGTCTTTAAACGCTTGGATGATGTGATAAGTGAAAAATGAAGCCTTACCTTTTTAAAAAGCTACATTTTTTAGTTTTCTTTTGCTGTAGGATTACTTTTCATCTTCATATTGATTACTTCTATTTCTTCTTTACAAATTGCTGATCATATTCTTAGTCCTCTTTTACTTCCAGTTGATATAATTAACTTTTCCTCGTTGCTGTTTTCTCTTTCTGTGATAGGAAATGTTAAGCATATATGATAAGAGAGAGAATGCATAATGGCCTCCAGGTCCTCAGCACTCTGCTTTAACAATTATCAATGCAGGGCAGCTCTTGTTTCCTGGAAACCCATTGCCAACCTCTGCCTGAATAACCATATTGTTATATCTACAAATACTTCCATATGTACCTCTAAAATATACTTCCTTGCAAAATGGCCATCCCACCACCACCATCTCATCAACACAAAAATCAATAGTATCTCCTATGCATCCTCCGAGTTCTCTTCAAGCGTTCACTTTCCTGTATCTTCCTATACACGTTCAAGTCTCTTTTAATCTGTAGGTTCCTCTTCCCTCTCTCTTCCCTCCTTCTTTCCTTCCCTTCTTTTCTCCTTCACAATCTTCATTAGTTTTATCATTGCTGACAAAGTCGGATTATTTGCTTGTAAATTCCCTCCAGTTTGGACTTTGCCGATTGCATCCCTGTGGTGGTGTTGAGCATGTTCTTCTTTCCCCTGAGTTCTCTGTAAATTTGTAGTTAGATCTAAGTACTCACTCAGGTTCAGCTGTTTTGATTCTTTTTTGACGAGACACTTTACAGGTGGTGGTGGGCACATCCATCAGGGATGTGTAATGTCTGGTTCCCTCCTTTCATGGTGTTGGTGATGGCATTGCTGGTACACTGAGGGTTGTTACCTAAAGCCACGTCCTGATGCTCTGAGTCTATCATTTCTTCAGCATTAACTGGCTGGAAACCCTCTGTCGAGAGAAAGTCCTCATATCAAACTGTCTGGTTGCCTTGAGGTTCAGGTTATGCGGTAAGGAAGCTAAGGGTTTGCTTCTTTCCCCTTTCAAAATAATGAGTTGGTTTCCTAGTATCTCCATAGGTACCAGATGAACTCATATATTTAAATATATTTGATTTATTGAGACTGACTAGTTGTTTTCTGTTTTGATGTTGAGATTGTCCTGTCTTTGGCCAATGGGTACCTCTTCAGGTTGGTTCCTGGGTCCTTTTGAATGACCTGAATTGTCTGATAGCTTCCTTGTTATCTGGCATGAAAGATGATCCAGGCTCATATCATACATTTCCTGCCTCAGATCTGAAATTAGTAATTTCTCTGGGGAATCCTGGTTTCTTTTAGAGGAAACTGGTATTTACAGACAGAATCTGGGTGCCAGGAGATCTCCTTGCTACTGGTTTTGTCATTATTTCTCAGCCCTTTCAGGGGACAGAGATAGCAAATACAATGAAAATATGTCATGTGTTCCTACTGATATTTCCCATTCAAGTTCAGGCCTTCAGGATTTTTACTTTGCCTCATTGATGTAACATCTGTCTGTATCTCTTTTCTTCCACACCAAAGTCCTGGCTCTTAACATTATAATCACAGTCTCAGAATAACAACACCAACACCGTTATCCACAATGCGACTATTGAAGACAATTTAAGATTTATTATTGTTGTTTTGGAGTTATTTTTTGTCCTTAGGATATATTCCACTAGGGATACTCAGTTAAATTACTGTGCTTTAAAATCACTTCAGATAGTTTCTCTCTGTGCTTATGATGCCACCTGGATACACAAAGAGGTTTACTTCTTCACCTTACTTTTGATTTTTAGAGATTTTGTTTTTATTATTTAATCTGATTCATATTGTTTTTATGAGTTATTTAAATATACTGAAAATATCAACCCATTGTCATATATGCTACCTTTCCTCTCTTCAGTTGGTTGTCTTTTAATTTTGTGTATGGATTTCCTCCTCCAGAGAGTTTTTAAGTTTGTATGTGCCTAACTAATCAATGTTCTCCTTTGTAATTTGTGACTTTGTTGTCAAAATTAGGAAGACTTTCTTCATTCCAATAGTCCTACATGTTCATCTGTATATTTTTTTACTTCTATAAAAGTTAAAAATTTTCAGACTTACTGTATCCGGGCCTTTTTCGGGTTGTCAGCTGTGACTTAGGGATCTGTTTTATTTTTGCCAAACACTTAGCCAGTTGGCTCAACATCATTGCTTGACAATTCATCCTTTCTTCACTTTTAAATCATCTCCATCATCAAAAATAATTATATGTACTTAGCCTGTGTCTGTTTCTGGACTTTTTATTTATCTATTAATCTGACTGTTTTGGCACTAGGGTTTCAGTGTTTTAAATCATTGAAATTTTATCATCTTGCCAGACACAAATGTCCTGATCACTTTCATCTTTCAGAATTTTGTATTGGCTATTTTTCAAAGTTGAAATCATATCATACTCATTCATATGAAGGCATTCCAATACCCCTGTTTGGATGAGAAAGTAAACAAACATGGATGGCTCTGACGTGGGCTTTCACTGATTCCTAATTAGGGCTCTTATTTGAAGCTGGGTTTTGGCGAAGCTCTGTCTTGGACCTGACTTGCAGTGGTTTTGAATGCTTCTAAGTAGAACATCCCATTCCCCACAACTCCCCCTCTTCTGGATTGTCAGCAGGCTAGTTCTTCGCAAGCCACGAGTGTAAATTTCTGGCAGTGTGCAGATGGCACTGTGCTGGAAGCTCAGTTACCAGGAAGTTTTGCAGGTGATCTGAGGTGACCAACTTTTGTCAAATAAGAACATAAAAGAAAGAGAGTAGGCAGCAGCCACTACCTGCTATCCCTGTTATTTTATAAAACACATCTTAATTTCAGAAGAGTAAGGTTGAGTTCGTCTGAGATTAAAAAAACAAAACCTTACCAGAATAGACGGTTGGCCCCTCACAATGATGCTCACTCCTCCTTTCCCTCAGTTTACCTTGGACAAATGAAAACTTGGTTATAGACCAGCTCTGGTCCACTGTCTGGCACTTGAGAACCACTGCACTGATTTGTGTCTATAGACCACACCAATGCTTACATTCCATGGTGGCATGATTCAATCTGAAAAGAGAAAATTTAGTTGTGTATTTTGATGTAACTCAGAATTAATGATCTTAATTTAATACACAAAATGACATTGATTGAAAATTTGTAATAGCTTTATGGTTATGACTTGAAAAAGGTTTTTTACCACCTAAAAATCTGAACCCACAGTTTAGGGAGAGAGATGTTTTGGTCTCATGGCTGGAACTTGGTAGCAGTGTGTAACTGAGATAAAGATTAAGACCGTTTTCAGCTTTGGAAAATCTAGAGTGAAATAACATAATAAATTGTTTTCCATACCATAATTGAACTCTACTTTGATAGGGAATCCAAGAAAAGCAAGCTCGAAAGTCAACAGAACGTCCAGGGTGATCCTGCACGTTTTTCTCCTCCTGTGTCCTAGGGGAGCTAAAGAGATCTGTCAAGTCCTCTCTACACTTAGGAGGAAAAGATGTGGCAGCAATCATCCCACATTCATGGTCTGCTTTATTTTCTGTTCTCACACCTGTGGCTGTTACAGATGGTTTCAAGCCTGGCTCCCTGCTG